TGGTTGGAGGAGCTCTTGCGGGAGTGGCGGCTGGACGTGCTCGGGCGGCCGGGGTTGCTCGTGCTCGCGTTCGGGGAGAGGTGGGTGTTGGAGGGGCGGGAGGAAGCCGGCGGCATGGCGGCGGAGCCTCCGTTCTGGACGGGCCGCGGCTGCGGGCGCGGCGGGATGTTTTCTTCCTGGGGATCTTCGCCGAACTCGAGGGGGATTGTGAAGCAGCAGCAGAGGGTGATTTCCCTCCGCCGCCTCGACTGTGTGCTGTATCCTCCCTGGGGCTTCTCGCCGTCGGTCGATCCTCCTGCGTTCGGTCGCGGACGCTTGTGCTTCTTGCTCACGTCGGAGCCGATGTCGACGAGGCCGAGGCGGTCTGCGAGGGTGTCGATGCTGGTGCGCTCTTCGAGGATGGGCTGGCCAGAGACCCGGGGCCCGGGGCTCGACTGGGAGGAGCGGCTGGCGGCTTGGTCGCGGTGGTGGTGGCAGTAGAGCGACTCCTCCTTGACGGTGGGCGAGAGGCGCTTGCCGCGGACGGGGGTGACGGGGTTGCGGCAGAAGTTGCCGTTGGTGGTGAGGCCTTTGCAGGTCGTGTTTGGGTTCTTGGAGTCGGAGCGACCGAGGCGGTCTTCCGGGGTGTTGGCGACGTAGCCCATCGTGCCGCGTGTCTCGGTGACGTCTCGTGATGGTGTTTCGGACGGTCGGCCGAGGATCGTGACAATGCTGTTGTGGTGTTTTTGCTGCGACCTTTGGTGAATTCGGAAAAAAGTCGAAATATTCCTTGAGAAGGACAGCAGCAATCGGGTTGAAATACGGGATCCGCAAAGACGGCGATGATGATGCAACAACACTTGGCAGCGTGAGTTGGCCTTGCTTGCTCCCCCGGACTCACGAACACGTCAAGGGCAGAGCAGGGCGTGAATCAGGGCCAGACCGACCGGGAGGTGATGCCAACGTCAACAACGGCGGGTCTCTCTGTCCGTCTCGCGACCTGCGGCAGCATGGGAGGTGAGCAAGCGAGAGGAAGCATGGCTTGTGGGTGGTGACTGGGTGCGCGTTGGGCTCCTCTTGACTGGGTCCTCGACGTGACCGGGTCTGAGTCGCTGGCCGCTGGACTCGAGGCCACACGCGAGACCGCTGTCCTCTGCCCGCCCACTGACCCCCCGGTGGTTGGGAGGGTCAGTCCAGGTCAGGTCACGTCTCGGTTCTCGCGTGTTGCTGCCTTCGTTAGGGCATGTTCGGTCGCTTTCGGGGCTCGCGACGGGGCGGTAAGCCTGCTTGAGCGCCTGCATGGGAAGAGGTGGGTAACCGGAGCTGAGCTGGAGCTGCACGCGATGTCATCCCAAGATGAGGCTTGGACGGCACAGCCACGCACGGCCACCATGCACGAGAGTGGCTGGGCATGTTCATCCAGCCACCCTTGTCCAGCCACTTCTGCCTAGCCACATATTGCAGCCACACTTCTAGTCCATCAGCCACAAAACACCAAGAAATCATCGTGAGTTTCGAGCGGGAAACAACATGACGCCGGCATTAGCCAGCAGCGAAGTGCGACGGGAGATACTGTGCGGACACCTTTATTTCTCAGTACCAAGCCATGGATAGTGCCAGCCTATCACAGACTTCGAAGAAAGATTAGTCGTCTTTCCCCAGTAAGTCTTTCGGACAAGCAATATCGTAGAGTGGTGTAATGTATATGGCGATACACTTCTAACCCGGCGCTGTACGATCATTCCTCTCCACCAGACGCATGTCTTTTCTTCCACCGATGGCGCTCATACGGCCACGCCGGCTCCGTTCCCCGTTTCAGACGTACAAAAGTTCCGAAAATCAAGATCCGTAGGGCTCTGCGGGGAAATGGACCAAGGAGCGGCCCGAGAGGGTCCAGGGCTTGGCTACTTCATGCGCCTTTTGTTGGATACAGTGGATCAGGATGGAGCGAAGGCAATGTGCGATGGATCACTTCAAACTTTCCGAAGGCATTGTGCAGAGACCATGTTCAAGTCGTTGCTGGATATGGGGAGCGCGGTGAGACTGGACGTTCCCATATGTCAATATCAAGCAGGCAGCTTTTGCACGCAAATATAGAGCATTCGCCTAATCTTTGCGCCTCGAAATGAGAACTCTCGCCTGTGGTTTCGGCATAACGCGACAAGGGCAAGAATTTGCAGAATGGTCAGGTTTTCCTGTTGAGTGCGGTGGTCTTCCTCAGATCGAAGCAAACTTTCCCGGCTGCAAATATCCGGCCATCAACTTCCGCCACGGTATACTAACTCCCATATCTATACTGGGAGTATGAGCTTTTGTTTCCATTAAACCTTAACTCGGGAGAGAGCATGAATCTAGCAACAGAGAACGCGATAACTCAACCACGAACAAAAGAAAGGTCGATCACTCTGAAAAGTGCCAAAGCGAATACTGGTTCGAGTACATCTATTAAGCCCTGCTACCTCATGATCACAGCTTAACAACCTCCTTAGGCGTGAACCGTTTTGGATTATATACAACACCACCATTATGCAGTTCATTACGCTCAGATCCTTTTCCATACCCACGACAAAGCAAATCAGTTATACCTCGCACTCTTCAACTCCGAGCTGTGCTCTTGATCCCTCGGGCTGCCTACCGCAACCTGGAACTGCACACCGTCACGTCCCTCGTCCCCTTTCGCAGTCTCCTGCCTGACTTCATGCGTGACGTGGACCTGGATGATCCGGCGGGTCGACTCGCCGTCCTCCGAGGAGTGCAGATCGCGGTCGCGGTCGCCGTTGACCGTGTCGGGGTCCGGGTTGGACAGTTTGACGTGCGTGCGGCGCCCGCCCGTGCCGCCGATGGTGACCAGGTTGATGTTGTGGCCGGAGGGGCGCGAGGCGTAACGGTCTCCGGAGCCGTAGGTCGAGGCCAGTCTTCGGAACAGGGGCCGCAGCATGGGCAGGGAGCCGCAGATGATTCCGAGATCGCATTCGAGAACTGTCAACAGGACGATCTTGGCAATGGTGTCTGTGATGCAACTAATTAGTTCCATTTTTGACGACACTTGCTTTCTTTCCAGCTGAAGAGGAGACAAGCGGCAGGAAAAGGGGGTGAGACTTACAATATTTGTCAACCTTTGCCGTGTAGGCCCAGGTATAGCCGATACGGATAGTCGTAGCCACTGCTGCAAAGACACCCAGGGACAGAATACCAACAGTCGCGATCTTGGCCTTCTTGGGCACCTGCATATGGCGAAGCAAGAACGCGGGCACCATAGCAGTAGCAATATCCGTGAAAATGTTGGCGGCCGATACAAAGTAGGAGACGTGCAAAATAACCTGCTGCCCCGAGGTGCAGTCTCCAGGCTCGCCCCAGGCGGCAGAGACGGGCTTGCACTGGAAGATGGCAACAGGCCACGAGATCTGCCAGACTATCCAGCACAGCGCAAAGAGGCCCCAGAGGATGTGTCGGTATATCTTCCTCGTGTCTTTGGCAACCCTGAGCAGCGTCCAGATAATACTGGACTTGATGAGGGCACCGTCCAGCACGTAGAGGAACTGCCAGATAATCGTCCATAGTCCGATCTGGTACATCATGCCGACGGTGATAACATCATCGTGGGACCCGATTCCTCTGTATGCAAGTACGATGACGGACGCATTGTGTCCGAGGTTGATGATCTGCGAGAAAGTTCAGCGGGCTTTCTTCAGAGATAGCTGGTAACTGCCGCGCAGCAACTTACCCATCCTGCAAGCATCAACCAGTCCTCGGTAGAAAAGGACTTCAGCGTGATGCGGACGTGGAAACGCAGACACACCACCGCGCTGGACAGGACGGTCATGACAACCGCCACCACCAACATGATGAGCGCCAGGCCCTCGGGTTGGATGGGCTCGAACTTGGTCGTCATCAGATCCTTCGCCATGGTTGCGGTTTGTTCAGGCTGCCCGCTGCACCCGTCGTGTGTGGTTGGACTGTCTCCGAGATAGCTTCGCGGTTCGAGAAAACTTCGCAGGAGGGGCTATTCCGACGAATAAACGGGGAACGACGTTCTTTTCAGCATTTATCCATGGTCCGCCTTGGGTTAGTGTCCGCGAGATACGCTTCTTGCTAGCATAATAAGTTAATAACCCGAATGGTCTTTCTCCAGAATCCCATAGGTGATCATCACTTCCCAAAGAAGAGAGATGTGGTGCCATTAAGGGGGCGGCTGGAAACGGGGCTGTCTAGTAGGGCATCAAACAACGAATTTCTCACCGATGACCGATCAAGACGAGATATCCACTCCTCCTCATGAAGACGGTTCAGGGTGGTGGGACTGGAAGAGGATGTCCCAGGGTTCTGAATCCTGTTGGCTTCACGCCCCCTGCAGGTCTGCGTACGCTTGTAGGCGAGACGCACAATCCCGTCGCGGCACGGTAGCCAAAGACGGAACGTTGGCGTATGACACCCGTCCAGCCAAGATGTACGCCAAGATTCTGCAGCGGCAGTTTCTCGTTCTGCAGCGGCAGTTTTCTGTAGCGGCTGCCCGCTCGTGGGTTTCTACTGCAGCTTCTCATCGTATGCTCCCCACGCGAGGTGCACTCATCGAAGTCGAGACGATTCTACACCTGGACCCCATGCAAGGCACAATTTCCCAGCAGACCGGAGTATTGCCCAATTTGAGTTTCCTTGTTGGGGGCGGCCGTACCGAATCAGGACTGGAAACCAGCTCGTTGGGTGGGATCATTGTCGATTGTTACTCTCGACTCGAGCTGTTGGTGCCGGTTCCACTCAAATGCGCCGGGTTTAACTGCGTCTTCCACATTCCGGACGGGGAGTTAGAGAACAGCATGCTGTAGCAATGTACGAATAGGAAATTGAGCGGTATCTCTACATAAAGACGCGGTAAACGCGGGGTTGATACTGGATGCTAGGCGGTGAGGAGGAGTGGTGTGTTATATATTGGGAACACCTTCCGCTCCTCTGGGACGTCGGTGCGAACTACAACCCAAACCCCGCGATACCACCAGAAAAGGCCGCTGCAACACACCCAGAAGATGTCGACAACTACGACCGAAGAGCTCCCCGTCCTGCCCGAGGGCATCACCCCCGAGTGGCTCGGGGCCAAGCTTGGCCACAAGATCAAGTCGCTCGAGAACACACGCAACATCTGGGGCACGGGCAGCAAGCTCTTCTACACCATTACGTACGAGGACGGAAACGATGCGGACGAGTCCCGCCCCAAGCATGTCTGCATCAAGGGCGTCTTCAGCAAGGAGATGGTCGAGCAGCAGCCCTGGACCGTCAGCCTGGCGCAGCGCGAGGCCGAGTTCTTCTCCAAGATCGCGCCCACCGTCCAAGGAAGCATGATCTTCCCCAAGGGCTGGTGGAGTGGCACCAGCGAGAAGCAGGGCATCGCCGTCATGACCGACCTCGTCCACGAAGGGTGCACCTTTCCCCCGGAGGTCGCCGCTTACTCAGTCGAGAAGGTGAAGAATGGCGTGGAACAGCTCGCCGGTCTGCATGCGCAGTACTGGGGTAAAAGCCAGGAAGACCATCCCTGTAAGATGATCCCCATTCCGCTTCGTTTCTTTCACTGGCGCCTTTTACGCTCCCTAGGGCGGCGGCCGCTCCCTTTTGATCACCGTTTAGAGGAAATCATAGTCTGACCGATGACAGGGATCTGGAATAACTACGACCCAGCAATGAAGTTTATGTGTACGCCATGGCACGACGTCGTCCGCGAACCCGGCCGTCCCAAGCTGCCAGAGTACCTGATGGACGGCGCGCGATGTAACGAGGCGCTTGACCGGTACTACGCCGAGCGCAACCCCCGGTTCCGCACGCTGCTTCACGGTGACACGCATCTCGGAAACGTCTACTTTACCGGCGATGGACGTATCGGCTTCCTCGACTGGTCAGCTTTCCACTTCGGATCGTGCTTCCACGACATCGTCTACCACATGACGGCCATGCTTACCATCGAGGACCGCCGCGCCCACGAGATGGAGATTCTCGACCACTACCTCGAGACCCTGCACCGCAAGGGTGGTCCCAAGTTCGACCGCAACGACCCCGAGCTGATGATTGAGTACCGCCGCTCCTTCATGACTAACGTCATCTGGCTGATTTGCCCCGATGCTCTGCAAACCAAGGAGCGCGTGCACACTCTCTGCGAGCGCACCGTTGCTGCTTACAACGACCACAAGGTCATCGACGTGATCCTCGACCAGCCCAAGCCGTCCGTCGCGGCATGAAGCAAATGAAGCCAAGAAATGCGTCGACGCAGGGCCCAGGAGCCGGCTGCAGGTGGATGACTCGCGAGAGAGGAGAAGTGTTACTACTTTTGTTTATGCGGCAGTGACAAATGCTGTGACTGGAAGGAAAGAAAATCACTCGCGGCTGGGGTGGAAAGGTTCCCAACCCATTTTGGGAAGAGGAAGCTGCTTGGGCAGCGTGTTGGCTCAGGGGCTAGATGCACATGTGAAGTTGAACGCACGATTGTGGAGAGACATCATGTAGACGAGTTGAAGAAGTGGTATCCCGCCCGACCCACATACGGCCACCGATTTGGTGCTGACTGGAGTCTGCCACCAACACGGAGTTCAGCAGACAAGGGGGTCCAGCAGGGGGATGTTGAGCTGCCTCAGCCTGCATGGGCCAACGTGGACGGATGATCGCCAGGGATATCTAGCCCAGACACGGTAGCGAAGACTTCATTATCTGTCAAAAATAATACAGCCGAGTTTCTGGTCGAGTTGAAAGGTTCTGTGCCTTAAAGATAATCACGAAATGTGAACGGGCGGTTGGGTCGACAGGTGATTTTGCCAGCAGGATGGCCCCGCTTGCCTAGCTTCCGGCCGTTGGGGCTTGGCTTGTGCGAACAACAAGACCCTTGTCGACGCTGGCAGGCATGGCTCGAGTCATGAGCGAGTCCCAGAGCTGGGGTTCCGGGCACACGGAGTGATCCGGGACTCATCTGCGGAACGTGAGCTTTCTCTGCTTCTCCAGGTCCAAACGGGTCGCAGCAAGCAGCCTGGTCGTGTCAGGTTCACCGTAGACCCCCAGCGCTAATTTCCTTGCAAAACCGTACAACTTCGTTAAGAGCAATGACGGCCAACACATGGCTTCGGGGAATAATGTCAAAGGAATTACAGTTTGAGCAGGAATTCTCCTTAGAAAGTGTCATTCGCGAGGTCAATATCGAAAGCTTGTCTTCAAGTTAGCCGAAGGTCATCCCAGGTCACCCAGGAAATAATTCATGGGAACGCCCTGCGTACAAGAGCTGGCATATTTCCAGATGAGTGCCTTCCACAACGATAATTGTGCGTATTTCGCAGACGGACTCTGAAAAATGACCGGGCACCCGAGAATTATTTGATCTCCCATGATTGCTATTCTTAAAGGTGTACCACCTAAATTCTAATGCAAGCATCACGTTGTCCAATAGCTGAAGGAAATGGTATCTTGGAGCGAAGAAAGGCCCCTGGTTCCAGGCATTATTCGATATGTTGATGTGAAAGGCAATGCTACCCAGTTCCAACGCATCGTCACATGGATGATGGGGCGCCATGAATGCTCCATTCGTGCTCCACCGGGGATGCCATCCGTTCGGGGGCTAGCTAGGCTAGCCCTTTTGATCCAGCCAGGGTTCGCATCGATATTGCTCATATTGACTGCGTGGAACCACGGAGACGGATAATTCGAGAGTTGTGACAATTGCAATGGACATAAGGGTCGATGGAATGCGGCAGGATGCCGGTGCAAGCGGCGCAACGGAGAAGGATCGGCATGATCAGACGACAGATCTTTGCCTCATCCGAAAGCTGAAGGCCGGCGGCTGGGTTCGGCGAGGCGGCGACAAGGCGGCGCACCGGGCGGGCGGTTTAGCTCCCGCGACCGAGCGTGGTTCGTCTTGTGCCCGGTGCACCAACGGTGTGAATTCATCGTCCCATCGCAAAGCACTGTCGTCTGTCTGTCATATCGACCAAGACGTATTTCCTGTCAATAAATGATGTTCCAAAGCACAGTATAAAAATGTTTGCGCATCTGCAAGGACGCTTTGCTCGTTCAATATGGTAGCCGCTCGTTTCTGCACATGTTCTCAAACGTGCTTATGCTGGGGATGTTTGTGGCTTGTAAGTGAACAGTACATCAATTCCCACAAACACAAAACTGAGAACAGAAAGCACAGAGAGAAATTCCAAGATCTCTTACTTTAATGCTTGATTTCACGCTATTCATAACTGACATCGCTACGTTTGTCTTCACAATGTTGTTAAGGAGAGCACAGCCACATGAGCAGTAATAGCTACTTAGGGTAGTCCAACGCGCCACATCAGCCACAGCCTTCCGAACTCCCACAAAACACCAAGAAACAATCATCGTGAATATCACGAAACACAAAAAAACATATAACACCAGGTATTCTCCGGTCGCTGCTAGCCTGAATACTACTCTAGTCCTCACCAGCTTATATTCTACAGAGAGCGGACGGGATCCCGAGTTCTTTAGTAGATATGGTCGTCGTATATGAGGGTTGAAGTATCTGGAAATCTCATATCCTATAAGTCTTACCTGCTAAATTAGTTGGCTTGACTTTGTAATCAGCCACTATAGGTGAGATGTAAGATAAGACAAATTGATTTTAATAACTCAAGAAGAAACTTTATGTTTTTGATACTGCGTTAGGTTTCCTCAGCCGAGAACAAATGAACGTGATTCCCCTTCCTCCCTGCTGACTCTTTTTACACTTGCGTATGACACATTACCGTTCGCGGGCACAAAATTTCGACTGTCGTGTGGCGAAAGTTATATTGGTCAAGAAATCAGCCTTGTGATCTGCCACAGCAAGTTCGTTCATACCTCACTCACATGCATGCAGTCTGACTGCATGCATAAGTTTCTACACAGCCACACCCACGCCTTGGCAGAGGAATAATCCAACTGTAAAAACTGGCCAAGCATTTGAGAAATCGCTTTAAATCACGAAGCCCCGCTCCCCGAGACCTTTCAAACTGCTACTTCTAATTCAACCAGCTTCAACCGCTGTATATAACGTGGGCCATGGCTAATTGGCATGATAAGGCCTGTTCCTATCCCGATATCATCCTTCTTCCCAACCTGCCGGCATGTCAAAGCTGTGGAACACTGCCACAAACGCTGGACGTCACTCAGTCAGCAGCAAAAGACCAGTTTCTTGGATCAGCTATCGCCAATGACCATGAACAAGGCATATCTTGGCCTCGAAAAGACCTGCAAAGGCCACTTGTCCAACCCATCGACCAAGAACCACACGATTCGCAGACAAAACATTCGACTATGCCATCGGCAGATACGGCATTTGCTTCATTACCCTCTGAAGCTAGCATAGTACTCCGACCAGAAGGGGCGGTACCACCAGTGAACAGCCGTGCTCCTTCGCCGGATTCCGCAATAGATGTAAGGAGCACACGGTCTTCAGGTGATTGTGGAAATTGTATACAAACTGGTGACCCTCAACCACGGAAGCTCCAGCTCTTTCAAAGTGAAAGAGTCGTCTACTCTTCTCTCGCTTCTCCAGACCACATCAGAGTACTCAATCTTCACAAAGGCATCTACGATGACCCGATTCACTTTGACTTGGAAAGTCAATCTCTATGGAATTGCGCCGACTTTGAGGCCTTATCCTATACGTGGGCAGACGCGACAGGAGATAATCGTCGATGTCAGAAGATTTACACGGGACGTTGGTGGGACGAATATCTCATCACAAAGAACTGTGAAGCAGCTTTGAGAAGCATACGATCTGAGACCGAGGACAAAAGGCTCTGGGTTGACGCAATTTGCATCAATCAAAACGACGTTAAAGAGAGATCTCGTCAAGTCAGTCTTATGCGCGATATCTATGCGACCGCTTGGCGCGTCATCGTCTACCTTGGAGACGCCTCTTCAGATAGCGACATCGGACTACCGCTCATTACAGAAGCCTCAAACTTCGGATCTTTCCAAGAGTCTCTTTATGATCGACAAAAGGAAGCTAGCCTCTGGAACCTTTTTGAGCGGCCATACTTCTCCAGAGTGTGGGTAATCCAAGAGATCACATTGGCTAGGTCAATCATGGTTGTCTGTGGCAAATTCACTGCCACGTCATCGAGAGCTGATTGCCAGTTACGCCGGGTAGCAGAGATCGGCTATGGGCCAGACTGGCTCAAGTATTGCCAAACCCAAGGTTTGCCACCAGAGCACCTTCTCTCGCTCCTGGTACGTACACGTGAATGCGACTGCGCAGATCCTAGAGACAAAGTTTTCGGCCTGCTTGGCCTCATTCAATACTCATCAATCGAGGGCCTCGTCCCGGACTATACCCTTTCTTTGGCCCAAGTCTATGCGGGTATCGCGTTCTATCTAGTAGAACAGCAGGGTCGGATTGATATTCTTGAGCATGCTGGAATGCTCAGCAACGACCGCAGCAAAGAGACATGTAGCCTGCCTTCTTGGGTGCCCGACTGGAGCAAGCCAATCTCATGTCACAACGTTCGTCTTTCCGCACGCCAATTTCAACTGAGCCAGAAGAATAATTCGGCCCAAACTGGTGTCATGTGGTATTCGAATATCTCGTCTCAAAAGCCCGACGGTATCAGAGCCAAAAGCGGAAATGTGGAATGTTTAGTCAATCAGTATCTCGGCATATTGAGCACTTGGGGCACAATGCTCCAGGATTTGTCAGATTGCGAACGACGATTGATCGGTGGCCAGGAAGTCATCGTCCACCAAAGCGACAAACCTCCGACATGTACAGCATACATATTTGCGCCATGCAACAATCTCCCACGACGCCTTTATCTTTTCACAATATCCGGATGGGATCGCCCAGCTCTTCTGGCAAGAGTTGAAGACCAACAAACATTCCGGTTTGTCGGCGAGTGTGCCATCGTCTTCGGGGTCAAAGAACTCAACAGCACAAAGCCCGGCCATCTAGCAGACCGCTTGCCTTTGACATCTTTAATGATGTCTGCGTCTGACTTTGCCTATCTAAAATCTATTACTCGCATCATGGAGTCCAGTATTTGGTTTCAGCCACGCCCATTCGGTTCCAGTGAACTAGAGTTGTGGGGAAACGAGTTACCATATGGGCTGATTGATCTGTCTCAACAAAAGGACAAAATCGAAGAAGAGGCAAACCTATGGGAGAATTGGAAAAGTTCTCACGAAAGGATATCATGGATTTGTACCAGCGTCGAGGGCCTTCAGGTTCTCGCTGCCGAGATCAAAGAGTTAGCACACCGAGGTCCTCATACGAATTGGAGATACTTCGAGACTGCTTGTCTGCAGGGACATGTACCCCTGAACAGGTGGAATATCGACCGTTTCGTATGGTCATTGCTTCCAACGAAGCCAGCAGTTGGGAAACGGATGAGCCACGCTCAAAGCAGGCGGGCTATCGAGAATGCTGTGGAAACGGGCCTCAGTTTGCTACAACTACTCGTGGAATGGGGGAAAGACACCGCAAGTCTCCTGGACCATTTGTCCGAATTTCCACCAAAGCCCGATGAAATTTATCCCTGCCTTCCGGGCTCTTACTTGCCAAGTCGTTGGCAAGCTTGTTGGACCAACAGCTGGGATTTGGTTCGTGGATGTGAGGGCATAATCTCCAGCGACGCATCACACTGCCCTCGCCCAGGTTGGAGGGCAAGGACGTTGCTTGAGATCACCGCGCGGGAGTTGTGCCAAACCGACATTGTGACCATTGATAACTCAACCATCCTCCCATGCAGATCTGACGGCTACTCAAACATAACCATCGATTGGGACGTTTGGGACTGGGATGAGTTTCAGAACACCATGAAGAGAAGACAAATACTGCTCGCGGATGCCTTGCAAATGGGCGGTCAGTTATCAAAATACGCCAGTACCAAGAAACTTATCGATGTGAGGGCGAAAATGCTTGCGCGTGGTCACATTACGTCTTGCCAGTGGAACTTTGACAAGGAAATGCTGGTGGACGTAGTTTGACAATGTCGGGCGTATGTTCTTTCTGACACTTTTGCTAACTACCTCGTGTAACGAGAATTGTGCGGTATATTTGTTTGACGTGCGACGAACTTACAAATAAAGTGACACCGAGTCAGGGAGCACTCGCGTAAGTAATTATTGCTACTGAAAATAAGCAGGAAATGATTTGCTGTAGGTGCATTAACGAAGTTCAAAGCCAATTTTGCGTGTTCGGGTTAGTCTGTATAGCTATAATAAGTTAGATCTAATAATCAAGCGCGAATTATAAATCTGTGGGAATTCTTCTATATTTGCTATATCTAACTCCTTCTAGGAGTAACTAGCCGTTTTACGTCTCTATCCTTAGTAGTATACTATTATTAAGTTGCATACCGTAGTTTATAGTAATAGCGTCATTTAAACACTCTTAATAGTAAGCTTTTCCTAATAATATAGAATTATTAACCTTTTTTATATCCTCGCCTAAGCTCGCTAACCCTTTCCTGGTACTGCCGAGGCTTTCTAACGAGCCAATTTGGATTCTGAAATGATGACGGAGACTCCAAGATCCAAGATCCAAGAGCCTATTCGTCTTCTCGGTCATTTCAACGCGGTCCCTGACGACCATGGCTGTCGTGATACCCCGCTTCCAAGAAAGCTGCGCGAAGCATTGAGCCACATAGCTAGTGCCAGCAGGTATGACGACCCAGTCTCCTTGAACAAGAGGTCTCACCTCCTCGCAGAGGAGCCAGACGACGATGATGCCGGATCGCATGAGAGATGCCGCCAGCGGCGGCGCATCTCTCGGCAGCTTCAGTAACGAGCGTGCCGGGAGGATGACATGGGAGCGCCATGTCCCCAGCACAAGTTCGCAGGTAACCACCACGTCGTCCGTCGCGAATCAGCTACTAGTCGACTCGAGCACGATGGCGCAGCCCTCGAACCCAAGAACGGGCCACCCATGCCACTGAATCGTGGCTTGACCGGATGAACAATGAGATCGACAGTGCTCAATGGAACGGCCAGAAATCTGACCAAAACCTGGTCTGGGGCTTGATCAATCGATGGGATATCATTAGTGACGAGCCAGAGAGCTGGCTTTTAACCAGGCTCTTTTTGAACGAGACATTTTGCCATTGAGAGGAAACTTATGGGATTCGATGGACTTGATTGACTTCTGTTTGGAAGACAGAGGAAGATCAGAATGTGACTGATTGAGGCTTGAACACATTGGTTTCCCTGTAAAAGCCCTGTCAAACAAATGCTGGCCGTGTGCCTGTCCAGCTGTGACTGTGAACTTGTAGTACGTGTTGTTGGTTAGCTTTAAGCTCGCAGGCATCTCAGCCTCAAACCGGAGGGATGTTGTAAAGACTGTAAAACCTTCGTATACACGAAACGAATCTTATAGCCCTGACTCTGAATCTCCATGGAACGTCACACTCTATACTGAGCGCGACAATTGTGACGGCCGTCAACTGGTGTCGAGTTTGTTGAAACACGCGGCCCACCAAAGACACTGGCAATACCCCGCGATTCCAGTCCGATCATATCGCACACGCCATCGTAATTAGCAGCTACGCTATCTACCGCCTAGCTTCCCACAGCAAAACCCCATTTTTCCGTCTTAAAAGTTTCCTCGGGTAATTGTGAATCAGGCACAGGCTACTACTCATGGAGCTCCATGAATCACAATGGCGTTGAGCTGCACTCGTCCAACCTCCCACCATTTGCGGAGTAATCCATAACAATCCCTATGCCAGCAGATTGAGAACCCCGAGTATTTCCGCCTTTCTTCTCCACCTCGCTCTGCGGCAAGCCTGTCTCGGTCCCTTGCCGTTCAATTTGTAGTAAGTCAACTCGGAAACGTATGGGGCCAGCGCCAACTCAACGACGAAAAAGCGGTTGCTGGACATGTCGCTTACGTCGAAAAAGGTGCAGTGAAGGAGGACCTCCTTGCATCAACTGCGTCGACCGACAGGTTTACTGTCACGGTTATGGTCCTAAGCCGGAATGGAAGGACAAGGGCGAGAAGGAACGTCAAGAAGCAATACGCTTGCAGTTGAGGACGCCAAATGCACCACGCCGCCGCATTTCTTCGGTCACCCACAGCAATCCACACGTACAATCAACGCAGGCTGTCACTTCTGCAAGCTCGATGGATGCTGGTTCCCTCATCTCTCCACCTCTGGAGCGCGCACTCAGCACATGCTCCACTGATGTTGAAATCGACCTCTCTCTTGATGTCGACCTAGATCGGATTTTGTTCGGCGAGGAGTGGTCAACCTTTGAGCACCACGAGGTGAACACCCTTTCGGTTCAGTCTACGTCTCTCCCTACACCTATAACACCCAACGTGAGGTTCTCTCTTGCGACTTGCGAACCACATCTCACCCATCAGTCATCCGAGAGAGAGATGGATCTGGTCATGCACTATTTGGATCATGTTTTTTCTCAGGCACAAGGACCACACCTGAATCAGCCTCGTGGCTGGCTTCTCTCCGCTCTCATGGCGTCGCCCGGCTTCTACTTTGCAGCGATCGGCATAAGTGCATACTGCCAACACCATGACGCACAAGGAGATTCTGTTTTGCGGGCGACAGCCTATCACGACTATCAAAGTTATCGAACTCGCTCTTCTAAAATCTTCTCGGAGGGTTCTTGGGGTAATGTTCCAGGGGAAGCTTTAATTTGCGCAGTACATCTATACCGCTTGGAGGTAAGTCTAACTTCCTGTCCCTCTTACGGGTTACTCTGACCAACTGACAACCGAAAGACACTCTCAGGGGATACCCCAAAAGCTCAGCAATATTTCAAATCTGCCTTGACAGCAATGGGAGACCTTGAAAGTATTGAGAATTCCCAATCAGCCATGCCGGTGCCACCTGTGTCATCGACCATCTCGCCACACTCAGCCGAGCCTGACCTCTTTCTCCCATCCAGCAAGGCCATGGCATATTCACAATGCCTTCTGGCTTGGACTGACATCCTGACCTGCTCGCTTCAGGGAGTGCTGCCTGACAATATGGAACTATACAATAGACTATTGTCAGACGACAACTTCTGCTCCATGTTTCGGACAGCAACAGGCTGTGCATCATGGGTGCCCAAGGTTATCATGGCATGCAGCAGTTTAGATGTGTGGAAGAAAGACCAGGAGAGACAAAACGGGTTGAGCATCCGTGCTTTGGTTTCTCGAAGCGACGACATTTCGTCCTCTATCGAACGAGAATTACACCCAGATGCGAAGCATTCAAATTTTGATGTGCGTGCTGGGGAGCTGACAAGCATCTACGGACACGCAGCATTGGTTTATTTGAATGTGGTCGTTTCCGGGGCTAATCCTCGAGTCCCTGAAATTTCGCACTCTGTTGATCGTGCGATGAAAGCATGGTCATCCGCAGCACAGCAAACGAAGACAGGATCGCTTCTCTGGCCGTCTTTGGTGGTTGGAAGCCTAGCGGAGGGATCTCAACGGGAGTTGCTTGAAGATCTGTTACGGGAACCGGCCGGTCAAGTAGGGTCTATAATTACACCCGTAACTCAACATCGTACCTACTCTATGCTTCAGACATTCTGGCAGGCGCTGAATAGGGACAATGGCGAGTGTGATTGGAAATTCTTCTTGGATAAGCATAGCATAAAATTAGTCATGGCGTGAATAAGACTGCCTTTCATGATTCATGCAAATTCCGGTTACCCCATGTGCAGACACGCTGGATGGAAATAATTTGAAGCAAGAAGTCCAGCAGGAAACAAATGCTCAGTATCCGATGCAAGACGTACACTAGCCCTGAATAGTGACCTAGGACCATGTGGATGAATTCTGGGGGTGAGACATTCATCCATGCATGACTGATCGAGTTATCCTACGTGCAGAATTAGGGTTTAACGCGTCATTTGGCGCCTCTAGAATAGTGAAACGACTTGGCGCCAGCCATTACTTGTCATGAACACACTTCTGCACGCCCCGAAAAGATCGACGAATCGTGTAGGCGCCGCCATCCCAGCGGGAAGCCAGCGCAAATGAGCCGAGTTACCTCAGTCACCGGTGGGCAACGTTAAGCTTCGCGCCAATATACGCGACTGAGCGGAAAATACAGCAGAAGGACCTGGCATTTCTGTCCCGATTCCTCGCTCCGATACTTAAGAGATCTTTGCCGGAAACGGTTCATAGAAAAGTCGTTTCGAAGTCTTCTCGAACATCATTCCAGATTCCAAGTTCGATCAGTTCATCCAAACGCATCACCAGATAAAGTTAACATACTCCTGACATCATGAAGCTCTCTTGCGTCACCGCGGTCTTGGCTTTTGTCGCTGGGTCTTTGGCCCTCCCCAACATGCCTGTAAGTGGCCACAAACTTGGTCCTAAGAGTTAGGATATGTTTCAATCCTTTATGAAGATAACTGACAGAGGTTAAGATCAACAACGTTCTTGTTGAGCGAGACGGGGGCGAAGGTGTTGCGTCTGGGGAGAGCAGCCCTGCCACGGACTATGTAATTCCCATCGACAAGCGCGATGACAGTCCTGACACGGAACACGGACTACGTTATTCCCATTGATAAACGGGATGAAAACCCGGCAACCGACTACGTTATTCCGATCGACAAAAGGGATGACAGTCCAGCAACAGACTATGTCATTCCCATCGACAAGAGAGAAGAACCCGGCGCTGACCCCGGGGGCGACAGTCCTGCCATAGATTATGTTATCCCTATCGACAAGTGAAATGTGTTACTTGCACTGGCTATTGAGGTTCTGCTGAACCACCTCATTCGTGTTGGTACTTGCCGTCATATGAAGGAACAGAGAATGGCTGGTGAAATAGAACACAATATCAAATTGAAGGCTGGTAGTGTATCTAAATCAGTGATTCTTCAGACTCATTCGGGGCCAGAAGTGAAGTTATCGTTGCTATACTTGAAGTTGCTGTTGTGAAACAACTTCGGTAAAAGATGTAAAGATCACCGAGTTAGCATGTGATGTCCATGACAAAGAACGCAAATTGGCCAGATACCTCCTCAACAACTGGATGGTTGTGTCTATATCTCTCTGGTAAATAGCCAAAGCGCTCAGTAGCGATAGCATAAGAATTTGTTCTGCGTGTCCATAACATGCGAGACCGGAACATCTTCTATGAACCCGCCGAATCGAAGAATATCCGACACAGTAGCGTTTCCAGTCGAATCGCGCTGGCGCTCCCCTTCGTACTGATATAGTCTTGTCTTTGCATCTTCCTGCTGCCATTTCCACCAAAGATGATCAATCTGCGCGTGATGCAGGTAGAAGACTGGGTCTATGGCTCACATTAGCCGGTTACTAAAGGTGGAGGATTATTCATCTCACCGTTTCCGGCAGCAAAAGCCAAGAAGTCACCGCTCACAGCGCGATGAACGCGATTATGCAGTCGATTCTCCATCTCCCACTCGAACTCCCGGTAGCTCGGCGACCTGATAAGCTTTCCGATAGACTCCGGGCCAAACCAAGGGCCGAGAGGACGGCCAGCTGTATCGGTGGTCTTAAAGCCACGAGCTAGACAGTGTTCCACGTAGGTGCGGTTGTATCTGGTGGGACGCAAATGGGAGAATGGGCCATCGGTGACGCAACGACCTCCTCCAACTGCAAGAGAACTCTTAGGGTCACCGTCGCCGCCGAAGCCTGTCTCGTTGTTCCATATTGATGATGCGGCGAGATCCATCCAGTCCATGGTCCAGTCCCAGTAGCTGCCGTTGGTGTGTTCAGCACGAGTTCTGAACAGGACTTGTTAATCAACTTACGGTACTTGTCCTTTGAAATCGCAATGTTCTTTCAACGCAGACTCCCACGCCTTGAGGAAGTACCTATGCCATGGCAAGAATGAAGCAGATCCATGAGCTGGAGTTTGTACAAGTGTCAGACATAGCGAACACACGGAGAGAGAGGTGCATACACAACGATCCAGTTCTTTCATGCAGCAGAGAGAAGTCATCATAGACTGTTCCGTTAGGTCCCCAACGCGCAGGTTCTCGACTCAGGCAGTTTACGGCGTCAGTGAAATCCTTCCTCTCGTCGGCCGTGAGCGCGCGCCACTCGCGCCGTATGGCGGGATTGCGACAAGAAGCGACTTGGGGATCGCCAGACCAGCTTGAAATAGTCAGGATAGCTGACATAGACAGTATTCCAGTGAACACAATCGAACCTGCCCAGAAGATCCAGATCGCAAACTGATGGGTACATCTGGAATATTTTAGCAAACGGAACGCCTCCACAGAAGTAAAGCAAAGGCTACCTGCTGGATCTCTCATTCAGGTCGTCACTAGAGGCATCATGATCATCTGAGATGAGCTCGTAATTCCATCCATTGCTGTAGATCTGAGACAACTTCGAGGCCATCGTTCATTGAAAAGCCGTTGCGAAGCAACGGGTGGAGAGACAGGTGATGGGAGCTCAATGGGATGAACGTGCTCCAACACCGCCCAACAGAACCTGTGCTTGGAGCATTTGCTCGCTCGATCTTCTCGGCGGTCCAGAACTCAGCTATCCATTGTTTTGGCAAGAGCTTCCCGAAAGCTTCTTCGACCGAGTCAGGACCGAGCATCAGGAACACGCCCTACCCATGGCTCCCAGGACACCGTTGGAAGGTACCTCAACGCCGGTAACATATGACGACGTTTCAGACAAAAGTTTCATTAACTTATTCACAAACTTTGCAAGTCCATCGCAGTGTCATTATTGAAAACCCCGGGCCGCTGATAACATCTTCGCGGCATACCCCTTACTTCTAATCTTCGGATGTTTACATATGCTTATGAATGAGGCCTGTCAGTGTTGATCCATTCCTCACTCCAAACCGTGCCGGGACGAGGCGCCACCCGGGAACTGCCATTGAACCGGTCGGAAACAAAGTCCCTGATCTTCTGGAAGTTTCGGCAAGTGTGTGGCCTGTCGGAGTTTATGTAGTTATCTTCAACTCCAATGTAGAAGATGGACGGAATTGGCGTCAAGTCCGAGTTGCAGAGTATGATTTGCCTGAGGTGCTCAATGCAGTGGTCTCGGTGTTTGGTGCCGTGGATTGGGTTTTTGTTCGGGTATATGTCCGGGTAGAACGCCCGGCGGATGTGATCCTGTCGCATGTCAGTTGTTTCCGATGACGACACTCTCTTGACTTCACTCACCAGACAGTGAACAGTATGCATAACTTCTAAGCTGCTCAGAGAGATTGGTAAGCCATGATATTCCGTGTCATAGGCAACAACTTACGCTGCGATATATCCGCCCTCTCTGGGAGCCCAGTACTTCTCATAACCAGGCCCCCACGCCTTTTTCGCTTCGTCTTCAGTAAGGAGAAAGAATCGGCCTAGCGATAGAGTCAATAAGCACGAGGATTATACCGCGGAAGTCAGAAACTTTTGCAGCAGTGATTACTTACCCCAATGAAGTTGTTCCCAGTTGTGATCAATATCTTTCGTTGGTTCACCAACATACTTGGTGCGTGGCGTCCCATCTTCCCGCTCAGGCACATACTCGAACCCGTCATCCAGGAATGCAGGGCTCGCCTCAAACCACTTTTCCTCTAGTTCGATCAAATGTTTTGGCGCGTCTTTATATGTTATTGTAACTTGCTCACGGTGAGAGGGAGTTAGTTACCTAGCTCGGTGTGAAAGCCTCTCTCGAACGATCCAAAACGGGTGGCAGCTCGTAATTGAAGGCCAAGCCACGCTGAAAGAGCGGCCAATAACAGCGTGCTCGTGAACCATACTCCGACTGCGAAGCGGAGTCGGTTCTCCCTTCGCCTAACTGCTTGTGCAGATACATGATGAAAAAGCTGGGTGGCATCGCCTTCCATCTGGTCGGCACTCAGTTTGATGTCCGTGAAAGTCGACATTGCGGCGTTGATGCATCAAGCAAGATGACGATGCTTCTGTGATTGTGGCAAGCGCATTCATCCACAGACAAGCACATGTTTATTCGTACATGGTTAAACCTTGTGTGTAGCGACTCGGCTGATGGGTGGCATTGTCAGTGTCAATTTCAGAACCAGCGCCACGGCGCCAAACGTAGACTTTCTCGGAGGAGAAAGACAATGTCGATCAAAATTCCCACTGCAGGCTAATTGTTTTCTAGCAATCGTTGTTGCCAAAACCTTTCAAGTCAATACAGCTTTAAATAGCAATTTGCGAAGCCCCAATGGTGTTCGAGATGCTCATTTTAATGCGAGGTCTTCTTCTTTCTTGGATGCTGGCTGTAGTTTTGTCGGCACCAATGCCAGTTGACGCATACCTCGACAAGGTTGGTGGCTAATGTTGTGTGGAATCTCGTCAGCGTCGCTCACCGTGTATTGATAGGGAATCTTGCCCACCAAGCAACAGGAGAGTGCCGTAAGTTAAGCAGTCGCTTTTGAAGCTAGGTGAAAGCTGACTTGAACAGTGTAAGTATTGGTCATGCTTATGAACGTTTGGGTGATGGAACGATACTTCCTGCTAACCGTCTCACTCAAGAGTAAGTAAATATGACGATAAACGATTGAGGCTGGAACGTAATCTTATACTGAGAGCTGTAGTACGTTGGAGGACTTACACGAGTTTGACTGAGCGACAAAATGGGGCTGAGATGCACATGAATAGTCTGGTCCGCAGATTGGGTTGTCCAGTGTCAGGAAAGCAACCGCGAAGTGTTCACACCGGATAGGTTTCAGAATATAAACATAAAACTCTTCCTGCTGCTCTATTACACCGAGCTCAACAGGAAACCTGAAGCTTTATTCTTAAACACCTCTGTTCATTATGGTCCAGTCCTGAATTCTATCAAAATCCCTGCATTTGCGCCACAGATTGAAATCGCTCTTTGACCCCGAAGCCCGTGATGGATCCTTTTCAAACACCACAGGCGTGACGTCAGCAGTGCACATGAGAGACTTTCTGATGGTCTCTATGCAATGATCGATGTGTCCTCGAACAAGTTCTTCAGGGGCCCTAAAAGCGGTCACGTTGCTGTAGTCGTAGTCGTTGCGGTAAGTGTACTGACGCACAAGATTCTGGAGTATATTATCAGCTCTGGCTTGTTTTGAGGTGACGAAGAGGGCCTTGTTTACCAGGCAGTGAAGCTGGTGGAAGACATTGAGAAAACCCTTGACGCCTCCCCCCAGTTCTTTGGGAACACGCTCATACTTCTCCGGTGGCGCTTTGTTCAGGGCCGCCAGCTTGTCTTCGGGGAAGCGAATCGGAGGGACTTAATGCGGTTAGCTGTGCCAAACTGCAAGTGGAGGAGTATGGAGTCAATCCTGCACACACACCTCTCCAGAGACGAATCCAGGCTTCCTCCACCTCACGCGTTGGTTTTCCGCGATATGGTGAGGGCTGCATCAAGTGATTCTGCTCTGTGTATTCAACAAACTCCATATCACCAGATTCGATGTATGGCGCTGAAGATAACTCATCAATCGCGGTCTCTAGGATGTGAAGGTTTGTTGTTCGTTGTCAGACTCACAATAGGGCGATAGTTGTCTAGCGCATTCCAGGTCATCTAGGTCCTTGCTGATGATGAGTCGAGTGCATAAAACAACAATAATGAGGCTTTGGCACACCAATGCAAGTACAACAGGATCGCGGAGTCTTCGCGTCCAGGCCCAGTAATACGGCGTTCTTGGAGCGATCGAGCTGTTGTCGCCGACTTCATCGGCCTCAATGTCCTTGATGGTCTCGTATGCAACGGACTGTTTCGCAAGCAGCGACTTTGGCCACATTATTGCTGATGTTTCAAACTACCTATCTTAGCCCTCGAGGTGTGTAGCTACGCAACTAGGCCTGGCGATTCCAATTCAGACTGTACAGAATGCTGGACTTGGGGGCAGGCTCAGCGGCGGACCAGCGCCAAATTAGCGCCATTAAGCCCTGGGAGCGTCCGTGGCGAGGATTTTGGCGCGTTGGCGCGTACGACGAGTAATGGAACGCGCCAATTCCCGCAGACTTACTTGAGCACGCTCTCAGTGTCAAATGAAACAATAATTCAGGCTGCGCAAAGAATGAAACTGAAGTTAACGACTTGGGTTCTCAGTCTCTACGGCTTCATTTGGTAGCTGATGCTTGGGGTAGTGTCTGGAGTACCGTATCACCAAATCACTCTCGACTTTCCAAGCTCTGTGTCCGTCATTGTGCTGCACATCACTGGCCGCCGATTGTGGCTTAACAAGTTATGTCGAGGTCGTCTGGCTCCATCCTCTGATCTTTGATCGTGATGGCTGAGACGGCTGTGAGTCGGCTGTGAGTTGGCTGTGAATGCCTATCGTCAAGCGGAACGATCCAGGGCTTGATGCAGCCAAGGATCCTGATCTGCTCATCAAGATGCCCTTTGGCCGCGGAGCCGAGATTCCCACCTGTAAATACCACTTAATTGGGCACTGAGGCGAGATGTCTCAGAGACGCCACTCAGCTGGCAAGGCTGTGTCCCATTGCTGCCCCAATTTTAAAATGCTGTTGCCTTGAGATACCCATCTTTAAAGATTGATGCGATTATGAGATGTAAGGTCCGGCTATCAAAGTCGGCGGATATTTCAACACTCTAGTTCAATCGCTAGCATTTCTCTTGAATCGCCCGAATTCACTTTGGTTAATAAGCTTTGGAACTGGTATGCCTTCGGTATGACATCCCCGCCAGAACCACCGATTCCGTCGCCCATCTCACTTCGGACTGAGCAGCGATCGGATTCATACACCCGGAGCCATTTCTTGGAACACACCAGCGATGACTCGAGACCGCTCATTGGCATCGGCGACGTAGCCGGAAGTCACACTCAGTCTAACGCGCCGGCAATCCCGTTGACTCCGGTCGGACACCCTATTTCGCCAACGCACCGTCAAGTCGATGAGCCCACGCCAGGCACTGAGCAGGACAGCCCCAAACTGCGAAATAGCCTACGCAGTTCTGCAAAGCTTCTGGAATCCGATGTCAGTGTCAAGAACTCTGATGAGCCCAACATCAAGACTGGCCTGTCCAAGTCTCAGACCAACGTCTTCTACGCATCCAAGCCAGCATGGAGCTCGGCACTTCTGGCATGGCTGGCCGAAATCATCTGGTGCTTCGTCAGTATAGGCTCGGTTGTTGCCTTGGTCGTTGTCTTGAACGTGTTCGACGACGAGCAGCTACCCCAATGGCCGCTAGGACTGACGCTGAACACACTCGTCGCTTTTCTCGCCACCCTCGCTCGAGCCGCATTCGTGATTCCGGTTTCTGAGAGTCTCTCGCAGTTGAAGTGGGTTTGGTTCCGCCATCCACGTATGTTGAAGGACTTTCAAGACTTTGATGCGGCAAGCCGAGGGGTCTGGGGCAGCTTGCTGCTGTTAAAGACGACGAGGGGATGGTGAGTTTGCTATGTCGACCATAAGCCGATTTGCCAATCTAACAAGAGAGCCAGGTCTCCGAGCTTGATATCAGCCCTTGTTCTGGTGTCCGCGATTCTCACGTCAACGCTCACCCAGTCCGCTGTGACCTATCCTGTCCGGATGGCATCCATCAACGGCCCCGAGCAAGCAACAGTATCGCGGTCGACGTATTACTTTTACAATAGCGCAGGAACTCATAACAACCGTAAGTTAGACTTGATAGTCTTTGCTAATCCTTTCTTGGGCCCGATGACTGACAGATGATGTGCAGTCATATATCGACAGTCTGTAGACCAGCACCTTTTCGAAGGTCTCAGCTACGACTACGCCAAGATATATCCTTTGAACAAAGCTCGCTGTCCGACCAGTGATTGCCAATGGCAGACATACAGCTCGTTGAGTGTCTGCACCAGATATTGGAATGTAACGGACTCTTTGAACATTACCTCCCAGAGAGTGAATACCGCCGCACCCATACCAGTCTTCGCGTCACTGAAAAATGGCCCTCGTGCAAATCTGACCCAGCCGCATTTTGGCCTCGTCAGCTTGACGGGTGTGGCAAACACAATCTCTGCGCTATCGGAACCTTCTTATAACCCAGAGTTGTCCATCTACAACATGACATTCATCTACTCCTTGAGAAAGGGCACAACTGACATCGACATGCTGGGTGCGACGGAAGTCGAAATGTACTTCTGTGTCAAAACTTTCAACCTGTCACACACGGAGAATATTGAAGAGCGGAAACTCATCCAAACCACGACAGATTTTGAGACGGGCAATTACACCTTGCCTGACGGCCGGGGGCCATTCCCACTCTCTGCCCTCCGAGATCCATTGGACCAAGAGACAAAGTTTCCCTTGGGGCCAACGGGTGTGATTACACAGAGCCTCGCAAGCGCTCTCGACGGAACATACATCGACCTGGCGTCAGACGCCAGTACTTTAGGGCTCGCCCCAGCTCGGTATTTAACCGCTTTGCAGTCTCAGATACAACCGAACGTATCGACTGCGATGCACGTGGAGAGAGCAATCAGGAATGTCACCGACAACATAGCGACGTCAATGTCGAACAAGTAAGTCCAAAATGCTGGCTGGTGTCAGTGTATCCGGGATACTGATTAGTTCTGAATCAACAGGATTGCCCAAGATTCGACAAATGTGACTGGCCAAGTCCTCGCCGCTGAGACGTTCGTCCAGGTACGATGGCCGTGGATCGCGTTTATATCCGCACAAATCGGGCTTTCCGCGGCCGTTCTCGTGTTTACAATTGTTCAAACGCAACTGTCCGGCGTCGGGGTTGTGAAGAGCTCGACTCTGCCCACTTTGGTTGCCATTGACACGGAAAGCAAGGATACCCTGGAGAGCGAACTGGTCAGACGCAACAGTCTTGGAGAGGTCGAAGACGCCAAGATAAAGTCTGAAATGGCGTGGAGGCTTGGTCTGACGGAAAGAGGGTGGCGGCTGAAGACATGATCACAATTCGCCTGTTATCTGAGGACACATATATTTGTATCTTGATGATAGTAAAGTAAAGACCGTCAGACCAAGAAGCCCATAATGTCTGTAACTCCGGCTTCGTTTGAAATCGGAGCCCTCACGACTCCTTCGTCGATGTGAGAGGAGCGCAGTCATGAAACAGCAAAGAGTACGTCAGTGCCTTGTGCTGCTCCGCCTGTTCGGTCAATGCATGCGCAACAAGCGTGATACAATGCTTCGTATGCCAGAACTGATGACACCTAGCATCCATCCAACCGAGCCCGTGCTCGATGGCATACTCAACCTTGCGCCAGCAGTATAAGCAGTGTAAATCATGTGCCCGCGGGTACGTCGTGTAGATGGCGGAGAAGTTCCCACTCTGTAATTGTGACACCTCGCTCGGCGGCACCTTTTGCGTGAGATCGGTATCGGTGAACCACTCCCACTCGAGGTATATATCCCCCGTGATATCATGGAACTGGTCCACGATCTCGCTCCAAGCGCAGGTCGTCGGTACCCAGGCGCCCAACTGCTGCTCAAAGATACAGCCCCGCTGGCGAGCCTTGGCGGGGGTGCGGCCGCACTCGGGCTCATGGGGGATCTGCTTTGGCCGATCATGCGCCTCGTCGTGGTGTGGTTTCTTGTGGGGGTGATTGATGTGGTGGGTGTCTTTGGAGGGGTATTCGTGGTGCTTGTTTGGTGATGGCATGAAAATGAAGACGACGACAAAAGTGCAGATGATGCCGAGGGCCAGCCAAGCTGTCATTTTGGCGTTTGGGAGGAAAAGTGATTTGGAGCTGGGTGGCTCTGGGTTTTCGCTGGGTCGCCTATTTCTCAAACGTCGAGATAGCCGGACAGGCGGCCGATTGGACGGTAGCTGTTGCTCCTCATCTTTGAATGGGCTACCTAGGTCGACCTCTGGTTGATCTTGAGTTGGTAGAGGTGTGTACTTTGATTTGGTGAAGGATTTGAAAATTGCGAGTTTTTCCATCTTGGCGAGTCCCCGTAACTCTGGTGAGCCTTGTTAGCTAGCTAGAGACGATAATGTGCCTTTGTCCACTGGATTGCAATATCTTGCGGTGTTCACGATGCAGGGGAGAGAGTAGAGAGCAGTTCCATAGGACGGATAAACTGCCGAGTCCTGAGCTGGGTATCAAAGGCAAAACCATCAGCAGCCGAGTCAATCTGGAGTTGCGCCAAAGTTTCTCGAGTAACCAATTTTCTGAGAGAGTTCGGCGCCCGCGCCTAGCGGAGCTCCCATTTGTTCGAGAGTTGAGTACGCTTTCTCTCCGCAGCTCATCCTGAATCAGAATATCGTCTGATCTTCTCGGAGCTGGCTGACAGTCTTGTTGGCAAGGAGATCCTGTGTTGTGGACTGATTCGAACAACACCTAGCTTCGATAATTCCGCATGGGCCAGCTCCGTCGGTCAGCGCCAGCGCCAGCGCCTAATACTTGTCGGTCTCCTTGTTTTGCTGGCAAAAGAATATGGTATGCCTTGTTCTATTACCGATGACATCTACTGTATCCATCCCTCTATTCTTTCTGACACCTGTGGTAAAACAACATGGACAACAGGTTCGCGATCTTCAACAGAGACCTCCTCCGTGGACGAGGAGAAGCAGATCCTGCTGGAGTCCTCGGACACCTTGGAGCAGACGACGTTCAGGCCGAAGCACAGTCCCTTCATACCAACGCGAGTCGCGATTGTGCTTCTTGTACTGTCCAACATTGCTTTCTTGGCTGCTTTGGGCTTGGTCTTGCGGTCACAGTCGAGTTCCAGCCTGCCGGCATGGATGCCGCCCGAGAGAACGGCCAAGAAGCTATTCATGTACCAGAGCGTGTTTGGGGGAGAACCGAATGCAAAGTCGGAGGAGATGTGGACCAAATTGATTCCGAGTATGTCGTTCCCTCCGCTAGTTGGCACCGATCGGTGTATGGGTTGCTGACCATGTGGTTCGATGCTAGTGGGCAAGGGCTGGATCAACGTGACGGCCGATACGGATGAACTTCCATATTACCCGGGCATGGATCGGTCTCTTCCCAAGCAAAGGGCACTCGTCGCAGTGTTTCATCAGCTTCATTGCCTTGTAAGTGTAAAATCCCGCACTGATGTCGACGGTTGCTGAAGTTTGTATTTACCAGTACATGACAAGATCCGGATACTTCGCCGCGCGAGATGGCAAGTTGAGCACGGTAAACACTACGCACCTCTCCCACTGCTGGGACTATCTGCGTCAGTCAATCATGTGTTCAGGAGATACTACTTTGGAATGGTTACCACCTAAAGGGGTTGGGAGTACGGGATGGGGATACCAGCACACATGTAGGGACTACGAGGCGTTGTACATCTACGCCGAACAGCACAGAAGCAGCGATAAGAAGATTATTCATGAATAGAACGTGCTTCTAAAGACTGTAACCTAAAATGATCAGAATCACAGACATGTAGTGAAGCAACATCTGCCTAAGATCACCTCCTTCGCACAAATACCGAAGAAGAAGCGATCGGGTCATCAACCATTGGTGCCGGTGGGGTGGTATGCAGGAGGAAGTCGAAGTGGTCGAGATGGCGGATAACGGAATGGTTGATGACATATACAACAAGGCAATAAGCATTGAGAAAGCACACACTAAACTGACGTTCATCGCTGAGTCCAGGATGCAAAATTTAGGTCATGCTGATGATAAAACTATTTACGATACCACTCTGGACTCGTCGTCATCATTATTGTTGAAGCTGGCCCATACCCTGCCGCGATGCGCAATTAAGCATAAAGCAGGAAGTAGTGGCTACTGATGAACCTTCAGGCGTAATTCATCACTGATTCATGCATGTCAGTCAGCATGTTCCTGCATCTCAGTAAATTCTTAGTTCAAGCAAAGCTCTCCTGGCGTATTTTGATTGGAGCCAGATTAAGAATCGCTGGAGAAGTGACAAATTGCGCCACATCAGCCACAGTTCCGATTACTCCACAACACCAAGAAAAATCATCGTGACTCTGAAGAAACGCCAAAAAGACATACAACACCGGGCATTCGCCGGTCGTCACCGACCCGACTACTACTCCAGCCCTCACTGGCTTATCTATGGGAGAGCGGACGGGATCCCGAGTTCTCCAGTGGGTATGGTCGTATGTGAATGATGAGGCACACTTGAGATCTGATATTCGGTGTTTGGAGCGCACTGGCGTTTGACGTCAGTCCATCAACGAGACCCAGTAGATTCTGACATTTTGAATCTTCTCAAATGAGACACTTTTTCAATTAAACAGACTCCCCAACTGCCGTCTCAGATGGAAATAACTGTCCTTGTCCTAGAACTCACGTGTGAGGCATGGAAAGCCTAGCTAAGCTAACGACGTCAGCGTTACACTAAGACTTATGCTCCAATCAAGTCTCAGTCATATTACGCTCCATCTTCTCTTTAATGAGGGACTTCCCACTCGTTGGCCAAATCCACCCTCGACATAAGTATCTAGTTGATGTTGAGTTGTAGAGTTGACTTCACGGGCTAAGCACAACCCAGCCCAAGTTACCTGCCCCAATCACGACTTTCTCGAATACATGGAACCATTTAGGAGCAGAATCAAACTTTTGAGAGTGCTAAAAAGCTCCTTAGGGAATTACCAACATCCAATCCGCCACAAACTCAACAAGGGGTCTCACACGGGATTTCGGCTTCTGCCTAATAACCCTGTGGAAAGGATGTAGAAGGGAAAGAAGAACAGACAAGCCGCTAAAAGCGCCCACTAATCAATCGATTGCTTATAGTCAACTTCCTGATGATGGGGTTAAGAGTCATAATGAACTGACCTGGATCATATGTCCGCTTTTCTGGGCGATGGGTTTCACGGCTTGTCCTATGAAAGCCAGGGCGCTTGCTTGTAGCAGGAGAGACACCCAACTGCCAGCTGCAACCACTAGCCTCGGCACATTTTTCACAACCTTGTTATTGCTGCGCCCCAGAGCATGTAAGAACAAATCGTCCGTCTGTATCAGCTGTAGGATAAGAGCGATCATTAACGAGACCGATGATGTATCCGAATTCAAGTCGGAGGGGACGAAAAAGAGACAGATTTTGCGACGATGTACAATGAAGGCTTTGGAGAACAGTAAACCAAGTGTTTCTTACAACAAGGCCTTGTTTGGGCTCATTAAAGGATTTATTCCTCACTTCCCGACTGCATTACCGACCGTCTTGGGAGGCATGATGGCTGCGGATCTATACGGTACATTCAACTTGCGACAGACTTCAAGAAAGATCAAGATTCAGGTCAGGTCGTATTTGTAAAAGTAGATTGCTACTGCAGAGATATGCTTAGCATCGTTCTTTATGTGTTTAAGTACGAAGCGCACTAGTCTTCTGCGTCTGACCTAATGAGCACTGCTATGACTTTGTTCCAGCAAGTAAGTGCGAATCGCAGGTCTGGTTAATTACTCCACAACGTTAAGTAAAATGCCGTGTGCTTTAAGCATATGTGTTAGTGGTATACTGAAGGATGCCAGCGGAAGTGGTGCGATAAGCGTGGGCAGACGGCCTCGGGGAGGCGTGGAGAAGGCCGGCAAACGGCTTCGGGGAGGTGGGGAGACGGCTAACAGACGGCCTCCGGGAGATGTGGGGTCAGAGGAGAAGGCGCTGCGGTGCCGGGCGGGCTATTTAGATCCCACAGCCGAGCGTGTTTCGTAGTTCCAAATGGACGAGCTCAATGTAACCTCTTTAAGAACTTCGACCCAAGGTATTAATCTGTCCCAAGCTCCTAGACAGCCATTGCATGATGCGGAGGAGAGCTGGTCTTTGAAAGTTTTCGTTAACACGATCTCAACACGGTAGCTCCTGAAAAAGCACAGTCTCGACTGAGAGAATCACATAGAAGAGCACTCACAATGGCTGCAAACAACTTGGCCTCATTCAAGATATATACGAAGGCATACAGTGACGCCGACTACGATAAAATCGCGTCTTACTACCATGAATACCTGTCCATTCAATGAAGCTGTCATGACTATTTCTCAGATCATTCTCGGTCGCTTATCCGTGTTCTTGTCTCGGGCATTGGATGTGTTCTCTGTCACCCTGACGCCGTTTTTCAAAGTAAGCTTGCGCAAGCATAATAGTACACGATAGACGCAGTTCCAGCATCCTTCAAGGCAAGTCTGCTGTCCTGTGCATCATTGTTCCCTAGCCGCCCACTGGGGAAGACATACGGCTTGCAACTTTGGGTCATCTTTATGTAGTGTCGGACATTTGCCGATTCCGGATTGCCCGGGCCACGCTTCGTACCTGACAATCCTCTAGTGAATCCCCAGAACGGCATCCGAATCCCAGTCTATGACTCATCTCAACGAAGATGCTACTAGGTAATGCTTTATAATTCCCGCCGGATGATATAACATGTCCGTCTGCCCTGCTTCCGCATCAGGTTTCTCTCCCACAGAAATCATTCATCCAGCCCCATCTGGGGCCTTACTATACAAGACCCACCTTTACGTTTTGTTTCCCACATAAAGTTCGTCCTTGAGACGAATGTACAGCATTTTTTTGGCGATTGAAAACTTCGCATTTCTTGTCAAGTTCACGGTTGCCTCGTTGAAATGGATAAGAAGTCCTCTCCGAGCAGTGCCTGGGCCGTTCCTGGCACGCGTGACCGACCTCTGGTACCTTTATCATGTCAAGCAGGGCAGCTTCGAAAAAGTCAACATAAAGCTGCATGAGCAATACGGTACAACCAATCTGTCCCTTCACCCCGAAACTCATTAACCATCCTTTCGTCGGCCCAATCGTCCGTTATGGTCCAAACCGATTTAGCATCAACAACGCAGAATCGTCCAAAACAATTTACGATCACGCGACGCAGTTCCGCAAGTCAGACTGGTATTCCGCGACGACACCTGACAATAGGCTGGTGAACATCTTTGCGGAGCAAGATATCCAGCGCCACGCCTCTTCCAGGCGGTTCTATTCTAGTCCCTACTCGATGACTTCTCTCGTCCATTACGAGCCTTACTTGGACGAATGCGGGGCTCTCTTCTGTCAGCGACTCGACGAGTTTTCGAGAGCAGGAATTTCAGCTGAATTCGGTCACTGGTTTCAGTGCTTTGCATTTGATGCTGTCGCAATGATGACTTACGGGAGACGTCTCGGGTTTCTGGATCAGGGAGAAGACGTCTCTAACGTGATGGAGAATATCAACAGGACCTTGGTTTACTCTAGCGTGGTTGGTATTTTCCCTTCCTTGCATAAGTATGCAATGTCGATGTTAAGTGCTTTCGACCGTTTCTTTCGCGATGGTACGGCCATGTTTGTGCCGAAAATTACCCAGAAGATAATTGACGACAAACGAGCATCCCCGAAGTTGGTTGTTGATGTACAGGGCCAAGAAGATGGGGTGGCTGCCAAAGAGAGTTTCCTGACTAAATTCCTGGCTAAGCATTGCAGCGATCCCAAGTTTACCAACGACTATGTCCTCGCGGGCTGTGCAGCCAACATATTTGCGGGGTCTGATACCACCGGCCTCAGCCTATCAGCTATGCTTTACAACTTGCTGAAAAGCCCAGACAGTATGAGGAAGCTGCGTCAGGAAATTGACGAGTTCACCAGCCGTAGTGAGCTTTCGGAAGCACCTACGTTCAAGGAAAGCCAGCAAATGCCTTGACCTCCAAGCGGTCATTAAAGAGGCTTTGCGTGTTCATTCAGCCGTAGGAATACCACTTGAACGCGTCGTGCCTGAAGGTGGTGCCACGATTGGGGCAAGGTTCTTCCCCGAGGGGGTAAGAGTTGTATTTACCATTCCGAGTCAGTCGCTGTTCGGTAGCTAACAGTAGATGTTCTCTCCACAGTCGGTCGTTGGCATCAACAGCTGGGTTCAGCACCGGGATAGGAGCTTGTTCGGAGAGACGCTGACCACTTCCGTCCGGATCGTTGGTTGATCGATGACGAGGCCAAACTTTCGGTCATGAACAGGAATTGGACGCCGGTGAGAAGGACTAATGCCGTGACTATGCTTGCGTATCGATTGCTGACTCAAACTTATGGCAGTTTGGCCTGGGTTCACGAACCTGCTTGGGCAAGAATATTTCCATCCTCGAAATTTCGAAGCTTATCCCTAGGATTGTTCGCGATTTCAATTTCAAGCTCGAGGGCACAGCTGCCACGCCTGGCGGATCTTGGGAAACTTGTAACGTTTTCTTTGTGAAGCCTAGGAATTCTTATGTCAAGGTTCAACCTAGAAAGACTATCTGAGGAATGGCTTTGATTTGCCTGACTTGGTCCATTCGCTAGTGTTTGCTGAGAGTATCGCTACAGTACGCTTGTAGCCAAAGTATCGGGTCACGTAGCGAATCTTCTACTGTAAACAATTGTAGAACTTTGGCAGCATCCTAGCCGGCAAGGCACAGATTCTAGAATAAAATCTTTCAACTGTCGTCAAAGGTTTAGTCGCATTGCCATTGCCAGTTGCCGTTGGGTCTTGCGAGGGTCTCGCGATTCTGTTCCAATTTCTTCGTTGGGGTTAGTGGCCAGAAGGCCTGAAGTAAGTAGATACCGCGACATCGGCAATTCTGCCGAGTGTTATTTGCGAGAAGATATCAATATGCCTGTTGAAATTTGTGGCTGAGGTCTAGTGTACAGGGCAGGCCCATACGACGTTGATTGAGCCAAAGCTAACAACAAATGGAATACACATGACCGACTTCCACTATCACATCATCCCCCCACGGTCTCTTCCCGCCGTTTTCGCGTCGTGCGCTCTTAGCAAGAAAACTGGAAGCAGGATTGGTTGATGTCGTAGGGGCAGCAGACGTTGGTGTTTTGGTAGCACGTTCCACATCCGCCGTTGCAGACCGAGTAAGCGCAGTCTTGGCGTATTTCCAGGTGATTGAGTTCGGACGAGTCCCTCGCGTAAGTCTTCAGAGCCGGGTTGGCGCTGACCAGCGCAGTGAGCATAGCGAAGAGCAGGAACTTCATTCTATGTAGTGTCAGAATTGTCGTTGGGACAGTACGAAAGTTGGATTATGTTTCGCATACCTGGCGAACTTGAAATGGATTGTAGTTTTGAGACGACAAAAGCGTAATTAGTTGGGTTTGGGGCGTTGTAATTTGGCTCACGATTGCAGGAACTTGAACTTTATAGGTTGAACTTTGGGAAATGATCAGTAAGTCCCCGAGCAACCGTGCTAGGAATCGGAATTGATTAGTTGTTGCCATGGGGCTCATCTGGCAATTAATCAATCATACTTTCTTAGAAGTGTATACCGTCGGGCTGTACGAGACGCTCGTACACCCTTGGTGGAGTAGAGGTAATGAATATCCTTATGTAATCGGCATAAATATGAGGAGCATACCGAAACACAGAGCAATTCTTGACAAGCAACGGAGTAATCCAGAGTAGATGCTTGGGTTTGGGGTAAAACTGGACCACAATGTGGGTAAATCTTTCGGGCGTTATGCGGAAACCGACGGGATTATTGGGAAGTCAAATAGATCAGGCCTGGGTTTCTGGCTGGAGATCTCAGCCATAACCTGATCCATCTCAATTGAACCAACTCCACACCGCAAGTCCGGTCTGGCGCACCCATTTTCGGCTGAGTACCCATCAAGGCCGCCGACAGGTTCCACTTCTGCCCGCCCTGGACGCGACCGGATGAGCGTAACGTGATGCCCGCGCATCTCTCGCCGGATGGGGCGTGACCCTCAGTCGGAGAACACGTCTTCCGCTTCGCAGACCCGGTCAGCTTCCGAGAGGATCAAGACACACCGGCCGAAGTGGAGGTGTTCCCCGGATGATTGGCACCCGATGCCGACGCACAATCACATCATGGAGTGGGGCTGACTCTGGCTTCAGCTGAACAGGATCATCATCTTGACAGGATAATCCGCAGACTGTGGCTTGGGTCCCTATATCATTGAATGGGCTTTCAACATAGCTGCTATTAGTGATCCCAAGGCATCATAATCTTCAGAATGTAGTCTCATAGCTCGTCATCAATCATCATGAACAAGACGCGTGCTCACCGAAGATTCACCAGCAAAGCCACCCAACGGCCAAAATGTGCAGCAGCAGCTTCCCCTGAAAGCCGGTAATCTCGGAGCCAAACAGGCGGCGAGGAAAATCACACCACAAACACACCACCGGGAAGTGGGTCGCCCGGGGTGAAGGCGTTCTCAAAAATGGGTCTCAATTGCCTGCTCTCCAGCTGCAAACCGTTCAAGTCTGTTGGGAAAAAGACTCAAAGTTGATCAATTCCCGTCTCCAGATTCGCCAATCTGATCAATTCCTCCTCTCGACCAATGGAAATTTCAAAGTCCAAATGTGATTCGTATTCGGTTTGGCGGTCCCCTGAGGGCCTGGATTCGCTGGAAAACATGCAAGTTGTCGTACCACACCAGAGCGGATGCCGATGAATTTTTATCGTGCCATCGGCGTCTGCGCACCCCTGCCACACACGCCGCTTTCTTCCAGAAATAAGGGACATGTTCCAAAGCCCGCCAACAGATGTAAGCAGCTTCTCCACTGCGGCGCGTTGATTTATATACTTCTTTCGCCCCCTTTGCCATCGGAGTTGTCGCATCTCGAAATCAAAGTTGCGTTTCGCATCTGTGTTTTGTGTTTTCCCGTCATTCCTTTGCAGCAGGGGTTGCGTCCGATAACATGGCGACCTCAGTAACTTGGTAGGTCACCACGAGTCGCGCCGAATCGAAAGAGTCGCATCGAGCTTACACACAACTCCTACAGGAACGCCACCGTCGTGTTCCCCAACCAGACCGCCTCTCACCAGAGCTACCTCGGCGTCCTCGACGACGTCAACAGGTACAATGTCCAGCTCAACACCTTCGAGCGCCTCTGGGCCGCCTGGTACTTGTGGATGCAGAACGACATCCTCGCCACAGGCATCATGACGTTCGTTATGCACGAGGTCGTTTACTTCGGCCGTAGTCTGCCGTGGATCATAATCGACGCGATCCCCTATTTCCGTAGATGGAAGATTCAGCAGGTATGCTCCATCCATGCTCCACGGAGGAGGAGGATCTTCATCTCCACAAACACCGGAGACCGACCCGGGCTTTGAAGGACTGGTCGACTAACACATCAAACCCACAGCAAAAAATCCCAACATGGAAGGAGCAATTCGAATGCGGCGCCCTCGTCCTCTTCAGCCACTTCACCGTCGAACTCCCCCAAATCTGGCTCTTCCACCCCATCGCGACCTGGTGCGGCCTCGACTATGGTGTGCCCTTCCCGCCCGCGTGGAAGATGGCCTACCAGATCGCGATCTTCTTCGTCCTCGAAGATACCTGGCACTACTGGATGCATCGCGGCGCCCACTGGCCGCCCCTGTACAAGGCCGTACATAAGATGCACCACTACTACTCCGCGCCGTTCGGTATGACTGCTGAATATGCCTCCCCGATTGAGGTTATGTTCCTCGGCCTTGGCACCGTCGGTTCCCCTATCCTCTGGGTGTTCATCACCAAGGACCTGCACCTATTCACGATGTACCTCTGGATCGTGCTGCGCCTGTTCCAGGCCATCGACTCGCACTCCGGATACGATTTCCCCTGGTCCCTGAGACACTTCCTCCCCTTCTGGGCCGGAGCCGAGCACCACGACGTGCACCACGAGAAGTTTATCGGAAACTATGCGTCGAGCTTCAGGTGGTGGGATTATATCATGGACACAGAGGCCGGTGCCGAGGCCCACCAGCGCAGGCGCGAGGCCAGGATCGCCAAGGCGAAGAAGGCTCAGTAAATTGGTTCTACTCAATCGGCTGGTCGTCAGGTGTGACCAGTAAAAGAGCCAGATTGGCTCAGAAATGGCATAGTCGTCGCCGATGGGAATCGGCCTTCATTCTTTTAAGGCCTGCGACGACTTTTATGATGAATTGTAATTGCATTAGCCTTACATATTAATACGATGATTGCTCTTATCATGTAATGGGCGTTATCAATATTGGAATAAGCCTTCATGAATATCTGCTTATTGCAGCCTAGTCTGAGGCCATGTCGCTGACGACCCCTCATTGGCGGCAGTGCACATGTTCAAAAGCTGACTCGCCCCTCAAAGAGGTCATGGCGTATTGTTTCTCTAGGCATCACCCATCTGAAACACCAAAAGCTCAGCGGTATACCAGTACTTGGGGTAACGAACATGAACTTCACCGAGCTCAACATGGAGAGACTGAGCCTAGAGGGTAAGTTGGCAATATCTCTGGAGAATCTTCCGACCGAGCTCATTCACCGCATCGCGTCGTACTGCGATGTCGCCGACGTCCACGCCCTCACCTGTGTTTCCCGCGGTATCCGGTTGTCATGCAGCAATCCCTTTGTATTTCAAGCTCAGTTCTGTCACCATGTAAGAGCCAATTAGTACAGACACAATTGCCTCATCTTACAGACTTGCCAGGCACCCGAGCCCGAATCCAAATCAATCCCCAACAAGTACACGCTGGCACACATTGTCAACAGCGCCTTGATCAGCCGTCCCGAATCCGACGCAAGAACTGCCTGGTCCCACCTCGCCGCCGTCGCCCCAACCCTCCCAAGCCTCTCAGACGAACTCGATGAACTCATGCTCCCGTATCGAGCAGTGTCTTGGCAATCCGCCGGCAGCGTCAAGCTTCCTAGCTCCGAACTCCTCCGGAAGACCCAAGCTTTGATCGGCACATTCTCCACTTTCGCCGTCCTGGGCTGTAAGCTCTCGCTCATCCCCTGTTGACCCCGTCGCTAACGAGAGGAAAGATATCCCTTCGATTGATCTAGGCGTCGCCGCAGCGACGACAGGTCTTCTCATAACCCTCACGGATCCGCACAACTGGGCCTCCTACATCCACGTCTTACCCCAGATTAACAGGCTCGTGCGCCAGCAAGCTTTCGTCCTCGCGCTGGGTCTACTACAGACGCAGGTCTTGAACAACCTAGGCATCATGGCATACCACCTCTCCAAGATGGCAACCTGGGACGACACGCACACCGCCTTCCACCGCTTCAAGACGTCGTGGGAAGGGAGGCAGACGGCCGCCTTGTTGGTGCAAGTCCTGCTTGCGCACCTATTACGAAGCAGCTTCTCGGCAAGGCCGGCGAGCGAGTATCTGCCGTCTCCGCGAAAGCTCCCGCTGGCGATGGTGCAAGATGAAGTGGGAGGCGCGGTTGTGCCGCTGCCGGATCCGCTGTCGCCGGACCAGGCTGAGCGACGGCTCACGGCGTTTTCATCGACTGGGTCCTGGGACCATTGGAACCGAAGGTACGTCCGCCATCTGGTACAGGAGATGGAGGATGGAGAGTGGTATGGGTACTTCACCTGGGACACGGCGCGCAATCAAGCGACGTTTCTCGAAACTGGGCCGATTGAGAACATACGGTTTAGGTTTGGGGCGAAGGAGTCAGCCGGTGGTACGATCGAGGTCATTGCCGATAATTGCAAAGAGCCGTCTGGTCTATTTGCTCTTCACGGTGAAGTTGATATGTCATTGCAGAGCATCGTACTCAAGAAAACCAGCCCCAGGGGGGTTGAGTGCAATTATCGTGGTTGGTTCACCCCACTCGGTATTGCTGGAACCATGAATCCATCACCGTGGGGCTTGCCTGGCTGGTTCTGGATCTGGAAAAAGGAATGGATGGAGGAAACTTCTTGTAAATGATTTCAATACTGCTTTACGACAGTGATTATCCATGACCGTGAAGTTGATGAGTTCGCGATGGATTTGCATTTTGATGCAGCATCCAAGACCACAGGACAAGTCCCGGTTCACCATCAAGCCCTAGGTGCCAAGTACACATTCACAGGCCCCTTCTGCCATAAAATATAGACCTCGCTCTCATCGTACCACTTCTGGATATCGTCCGTGGCGCGGATGTCAAAGTTCCAAATCAACCTAGCCAAGATCAGGCGCATCTCTGCATTGGCAAGACTAAAGACGGGACTTGTGTTAGCAAACGTTGTACTGATATGACAATGGATTTCAGCCGCAAAGAAAGAACATACTTCTTTCCAATACAGTTTCGAGGGCCCGTCGAGAAAGGTTGGAGAGCTTTCTTCGCATCGTTGGCGAACCTCGGGTCGTCCAGCCACCGTTCAGGGATGAATTCCTCCGCTCTGGCGAAATGATCGGGGTTGTGGTAGACGGCCCATTGCCACACGTCGATAGTTGTCTAAGGGAAAGATCCAAGTCAGCTTCTACGTCTCCTCGCTCTCAATGAAGATTCTAGTCTTACCCCTTCCGGAACGAACTCGCCCAGAATCTCGTCGCCCCCTTCTCCGGCCATACGCGGGCTAGAACTGGGGACGGGTGGATACAACCTCATACTCTCATCCAGCACCGCCGACATGTACATGAGGTTTTGGACGCTGAGCATGTCAATCTGGTCCTCGGTTTCAAATGCCGACCTGACCTCATCGTTGAGCTTCGCCAAAGCGGCAGAGTTGGTTGCCAGGAAGAATGTTGCGGCGGAGAGCAGTGTGGCTGTCGTCTCAGAGCCAGCGACAATCAAAACGAACGCATTCGACGTGAGCTCCTCGAAACTTATCGTCTGTAAATGATCAGTACCAGCTCGCCACACCAATCGATTATGGGTTTCAAACTCACAGCACCGGCTGATTCAGACTTTCTGATCATAGCGTCGATGAAATCAGGACGATTGGTCCCGAGATCTAGCCTCTTCCGCAACTTCTCCCTAGATAACTCTTTGTTTTCTGCAAACTTGGTAACTAGGCTGCGGGGAATTGTCATCATGAGCAATGGGCCCACCCATGAAAGTCGTTTGCTGCTAGTCAGGAAAGCGATGTTCTTGATACTCTTAAAGATAATATCAACCCAAGGGTGATACGTCTCATCCTCAAGGCACCCGAACGGCTCGCCAAACGCCAAGTCACCGATGACATCGAACGTTGTGAAATTGAACCATCTTTCCACGTCGACGGGGCGCGATCCACCCTGCGATGCATCGCGAAGTTTCTTAAAGAGCTTGTCGACGTATTGCTTGATGATGGGCTGCTGCGCCAGCATGGTCTGAGCTGAGAACCCGTGGGCGAGGGCCCGGCGGAAGCGTTGGTGGTCTGCGCGGTTGGAGCCGATGATGTTGTCGCGATTGGGGATGGAGTTGAGCAGGTCTTTAGGGTTCTCGCCTGTCTTGCGGTGGCCTCGCACATCCTGCATGCCGTCGGGGTGGTTGACGGATATGTGGGTTGGGCCGACTCGGACGATAGGGCCGTACTGTTGATGGAGCTTCAAGATCTTTCGATGGCCGTTGCCGGAGATGTAGAGGCGTACGTAAGGGATGTAAGAGACTGCCCAAAGCTTGGGACCCGGAAACTTGCGCAGAGGGCTGAAGAAAAGTTGGTAGATGGCGTAGCCAAGTAGGTAGGCTAGGAGCTGAGAATCATTGTTAGTGGTGGCCCATCTACTTGGCTGCGGTAGAGGTGCTTACGGAACCACCTGTGACAACTGGTGCCATCATTGCCAAGGAGATGCCCCCAGCTCCAGTCTCCAAGTATGACAACATCGCAGGGTTGGAATTTTCGAAGGCGGCCAGACTTTGATAGTAAGATATTATAAAATGAACGTCCAGATAAGGTAGCCACCAACGGTTGTGATCTGAACTTTACTTCAATGCCACGGCTGATGGCCTTTTTACTTCAGATCAATGCCATCTGATGTGGGGTTCATCGGGTTCTGATACCCTCCGTACGGAGCCCTTCCGAGGATCATCAAGCGGGTTTCGGTACCAGACATATGCACCGTAGTCGCGGAGTTGTAATCGATACTACCGCGAATATGAAACACCAGTCAAATCGCATCGAATAGCAGCACAATTCACAAGGACTCAAGAAAAAACGTCCGCTATATCGACGATCCATGCATGTAATAATGCTGCTAACCGCCCCTGAGCGGGCTTCTCCGCGCGGGGCCGGTCGGCGCTTGAACAAGGGCCGAGGCCGAATAGCGGGCCGGAGATCGCTTTCATTTCACGAGTTGCCAATCCGGCACATCATACTGGTTGATACGTTTTCCTTCTTTCGTATAAATCCGTTGAGTTCTCCAGCTACTGTCTGAGCATGGTCAGTGAGGTTCGTCCGGTACAACCAAATTCCTGCGTTCGTTGGATGGCAGAACCAGCCCACTTATTGGGACAGGGATTTGCATGAAGGTGAGCCGGGTGGCGGTGCGTGGTCAAACACCATGTTCTCGTGATAAATCGTGATAAATAAGCTCGTGTAACAACGACCACCCTCAAAGCCGATGGGCGAAATTTCAATTGGTGAATCGGGCCTTACACACCTTTCAATTGCTGCAAGGGGAAAATTGACTCACCCAATTCGCTTTGACTTGGGCTCACTAGCCTTACATTTTGCCAAGCACTCTCATTTTAAATAGCATGCAGTCAGCAGAAGCGAGCCCAAAGTCCCTTATTTGCTCGTTCCTTTTCGCCCTACGGCGATGGAAAGCAACCGATGTTACTCAAATGCTGCGCCGAGGCGGCACGACGTATCCTAAATTGGGTTACTTTCAGCTTTTTCTGCCAGGGCATGTTGGATTGCTGAGGCGAAGTATTCATAGTAGGCGTCTCGATTGGATTCAGCCTGTAGGTTTATGATGAGTTTGGCCTCATTCGCGATGCTTAAAATGATGGGATTGCCGCCTGATTTTGGTGGGTTTCTTCCCTCGCTACCCACATCTTCATTCATTTTTCGTTTCTTCGGATTCAGGTACCACGCTCGCTGGAATTGCACACTCCATTTCAAACGCAAATAATAATAACGAAGATGTCGCGCTACATTCTTACGGTAATCGCAGCCGCTGGTCTGGCCCTCGCCAAGACAGACATCGAAGGCTGCACCTCCTTCACCTCCACCGTCACCGTCCGCACCGAGATCGGCTACGGCAACACCTACGAGACAGTCATCTGGTACGTCCCAGACACCCTCGAGATCTGCCGAGGCGTCGACTGCGGTGGCGGTCGAGCCCCGCCCCGTAAGGTTCCCGGGTGCCCCATGTACTCCGGCACGGAAACTGTGACGGCGAGCTTTCTGTCAACAGACCCGGCCGCCCCGGTGAGCACCGTACTCACCGTTACGCCTACGAAGACTAGCACTGTTGCGCTTGTGACGGTGACAACGACGGGCAGGACAGCCAGCGGGGCCGCGGAATCGGGCGCTTCGGGGACGGGCGCGAGCGCATCGGCAACTGGCGGCAGCCTCGAAGCTACCACCGCTTCTACGACGAGCGTATCGGCAGTGACGGAGAGTGCGGGCGGAAGTGCGACTGGCACCGGAAGCGGCGCAGCAGCCTCGGGGACGGAGACAGCAGCGGGAGCGGGGCCGACGGCAAGGGCTGGCGTAGCCGCTGCGTTGGGTGTCGCCGCTGCTGTTGCGCTTCTTTGAGAGTTAGAGGATCATGGGAGATACCTGCAACAAAGGCAGAGGAATGCACGTAGTAATTTTAATCACAGTTTGGCGAATACGTGCCGTAATGACGGGTCACTGAGCTGTATCGGGGTTCTAATTTAAGCATCCAACTCGCCAAGATGTTAACAAAGTCGAGGCTTCATTCGTCCGATTTTTGAGAAAATCCAAAGTCTAACATGAGTTGAAGGCGGAGTAATCACAAGCAAACGAGCCGCGAGACTTACGCTGATGCGCAGAAAGGATTGCCCATAAACTTGGGCGACCCGCGACCCGCGACAGATCAAGTAAACTGATCCCGCAAGCACACCAAAATGTCGAAGCCTACAGTCATCCTCGTCCACGGAGCCTGGCACTCCCCTGCTCACTATCGGGAGTTCCTAGATATCCTCGAGAAGAAAGGATACCCGTGCGTCTGTCCGAGCTTGCCGTCTGGCGGCAACCCCTCACCGGAAAACCCGCCAGAGGCAGATGTTCGGTGCATCAGGGAGACGATCCAAAAAGTGGCGGACCAGGGAAAGGAGATCATTGGCATCGCACACTCATACGGCGGTATCATTGCTACTGAGGCATTTGCAGGATTTGGCGTCAAGACTCGAGCGACCGTGGGCAAAGCCGGCGGCGTGAAGTGGCTCGTGTACTGCTGTGCTTTCATCATGGAGGGGAATGAGACCATGTACGACATAGCTCCGCCAGAGCTGCTGCCGTGGCAGACTGTCGAGGTAAGCTACCGCATTAGCTCCACCGTATGATTTACTCTGACTTTTGAAGGGGAGCTTGATATGCTTCACCCAAGGTTATGATATGGGCGCTCTCTTCTACTCGGATTTGTCGAAGGAAGACCAGCAGAAATGGGCAGCCTTGATGACGCGCTTCCCCAAAGCGTGCGCAAAATACGCCACCAAGAGGAAGGCTTACGAAGGCATTGACACAACATACATCTACTGCGAAGAGGATGCTTTGTTTTCTGTGGTCGCACAGAGGATCTTGGTGGGCAGAGTGAGAGAGCGTGGCTTCGAAATTAAAGAGGAAAGTTTACCGGCAGGGCACTTCCCGATGTTGAGCATGCCAGATAGACTGGCGGAGATCATCTTCAAGTTGCCTCTTCGAGGGTCGAAGCTATGACCTCCATCCATCTCGTGTAGTGTGGTACAATGGACGAAAATATCGGATACTTTGATCCTGAAAATCCTCCCGTCTCGTGCCTGCAGCCCGAGTCTGAGCATTACCGCGACAGGAACATCTTGAGATGCAAGGCTGTATCGAATTCTTATGCTTCTTGGACGATCATACGAGATGAACACGATTGGCGTCAAGTGGCTTAGTCTACTACGCAGTATGTGGAGTTGATGGAACCTGTCAGAGGCAACCCACTTGCGATGCTATTCGCTACCATTAGACCAGCCCGGTCAGTACGGATTACAAGGCGGATTCAGGAATCTTTATGCCGAGTTTCTTCGCCGTCCTCTCCACCCGGCCAACCTTAAGTCCCCGGAACCCCTCACCGCCACGCTTGAGCCATACTGGTCTGGGCCATTTAGACTTTCGGCACAGTGGAGGGGGCATGAACGACGGCATCAGACGAGACCCCGAGAGCGAACGCAGGAATAAACATGAGCCGGCCGGACCGCCGACCCCCGGCTCCGCGCAAACGCAATCTCCACATCGCCAACTCCCCGGCCCCGGCTCCATATGCAGTCTGGGTTTCAAAATCCTGGGGTGAGGCAATTCACGACACGTCTTACGCGCGGTTAATCCCATCCTACCATGGATCTCGGATGATGGACCCTGAAGCCGTGATTCGATGCCGGCACGCTGGGAGATCAGCCGGGGAGGGGGTGGATGCTTTGCCCAAGGCTGATTTGACGTGTGACATGCATCTTCTGTCGTATTTTCGGGTTCTCCAAGGGTCAGTTGTACGACGCGGTCTGTCTTGCGCCGTCTGATGGTTGTCATGCCGTGTCGCTCTTCGGGCTCCGGGCGAGCGCCGTGTCGGGATAGGAAGCTTTGGCCTGCCGGGCTTACAACAGCTCTGCATTCATGCAGCAGGGTCCGGAGGGGCATGTATATAAGCCTCTTCGTCCCCGTCTGCTCTACCCATCCTCGACACAATTACAACCAGCAGCATCATTAACATCATCTTCGATAACCTCAACCGCAATCACAACTCAGCATCAAAACCGACTTCAGTCAGACCAAACAACCGCCAACATGCCTTACATCGTCGCCGTTACTCCTAACATTCCCCCCGCCGACAAGGACGACTTTCTCGGACACTGGCCCGCGATCAAGGCCGATATTGCCAAGCAGCCTGGTGTTCTTGGTGTTTCCGGCGGCGAGGTGATTGGAGAGAACTTTGGACCGGTGTCTGAGTTTAAGTTCTTTCAGACCATGGGTAATGACCGGATACTTCGTCATACAACGTAAGATGTTTGAACGGTGTAGTAACATGTGATTTAGCGTTTGCATCGGCAGAAGACGAAAAGGCCTTTGCCGACTCTGCGTGGGCCAAGGAGCATTTCCAGAAAGCCGCAGCGAAGATGGGCGCACCTCCATTGATCAGGAAATTCCAAACCAGCGAATTCCCAGCGGACAAGCCCAAGGCCTTGACCCAGTTCACGTTTCTTGAATTGGCAGATGGAAGCCAGCATGAAGGAGCGACGCAGGCGTGGATGGATCTTGTTGCCGCGATCGGCGGCAACTCGATGGGTGGTGCTAGCGCTGACGACGGCCCGACAACCGGTCTTGGTGTTCTTGGGTGGGATAGCAGAGATGTAAGAGCCCACAAAGTGTCAAGCGTTCATAGCGAACGGAACTAACAATCTGAACAGCAAGCTATCGAGACATACAAGAAACCTGAGGTTTCGGCTGCCTGGGATAAGTATAAGACTTTCGGAAAGGTCATCACTATTCTGGTGAAGCTTGAGGCATAGGTGAAGACCGTGTGTATATGTAACACAAGGTAGTTCTGGCACCAGACAGGCTACCTTACCTAGTAGGATTCGAGAGAAATTCAGAAATATTAGGCGGACGGTTACGGTGAATGAAGTAGGCTCGGTGAAGGTTAGCTTAGACTCAGGCATCACAACAGGCAACCAAATCACTATGCGGTGTTCACCATATTCACTAACGATGCCTCAACATCCACTTCAGTATTTAAATCCTGGGCTGGAAGGGTTTCAAGAGCTAGATTTAGAGAGCGAATTATCAGACTTTGTATACACCTCATCACCATTCTACTTCATCAACATGTCTTCCGGCGGTGGTTCCAGCAGCAACAACGGCTCAGGCGCAAACCAGTACGGCTCTGGTGGTTATTCCAAGAACGACTCTTTTGCCTGGGGATCTAAGGGCCAGTCCTCCTCTGGTACTTACATCGACAATAAGGGTTACAAGAGAAACACCAGGGACGACTCTTACACCTACGAGTACCCTCCCAGGATGTACAACCCCGACGGCAGTGTCAAGCATTCCTAATATCTGCCTTGGGGCAAGCAGCGGAGATGCAGTAAAGAGGACGACCTTCACGGGTCCAATCCTTCCCGAGATACCATGCACTTAGAGTAGTTTTGCTAAAGCAATACAACAGTCAAATACCCTGAACTCAAATGCAATTGCATTAACATACGTGGACACTTTGAATGATTTTCTTTAGAGGCTTTTACTTCATAAATGCAAAATGTGACCTGCACAATGACATTTTCCTCCACGCTCTAGGTACCTAGGTTAAGAGCCTCTAACGATTGCAATACGCTCCTCGTTACCCAAGACTCTCCATCCACATGGTCCAGACTGACAACCCTCGCCGCAGTGTGCTTGAGTCCTGCCACAGAAGCCAGCCTGACTACAGCAGCCTCCTTGGGGCCATGACCCACAGACTGTGCCCTTGTGCGCAAGTCCACACGTTCCATCAGTCGTGGCTCCCCCACTGATGCAATCGCCGGACTGACATCCGCTACCGCAATGAGCATCGCTGTTTCCACACCATCCAGCACTGAAGATATGTTGTTAGTGGGTGACTGGTGATCACAGCTTAGGCAGAACCAGACAAGGGATTTGATGAAAATGTAGACGAACCTTGAGCAACAGCTGCCCTGAGGCCAATCTCCGCAGACCGTGTTTCCATTTGCGTGGCCACAAGTACCGTCCGTAGTGTTCGTCGGCTCCAGACCACTGGTATTTGTCAGAATTGACGACCTGGATTTCAATGCCAGGCTGCTGTAAAGCTTCTTACCTCCCGGCACCTGAGTTGAAATCCACGCTCCATGCCATAGTTCCACCAAAACACTGATTATCTGCCCATGCCTTCTTCTCCTTGATAGTATCAGCATCGTCGTAACCGATCCACTGATCGTCCCATGTGATTTGCTTCATCATGGTGTCAGGCAAGTACTTCGGTATCAAGCCCTTCTTCTGAATTAACTGCTCGATCTCGACCAAAGACATAACGCCGTCGCTGTTAGTGCAGACGCCGGCCTTGCTTGGGCCCTTGAAAGAGCACTCGAGGTCGTTGCAGCTCTTGTCAGTTACCGTGTATCCACGCCCGTAAAGCGCAACACCAAAGTTGATCTTCGAGGGATCCAGCTCTGCAAACCACAAGGGGAGGGCGTCGGTAGCTATGTCACGGATATCGGCCTGACCACGAACGATGGAACCGAGTGTCTTGACGTCCTGATCCCAGAAGCCGTGGAGATCTTTGGTGTTGGGCACCGTAAGCCAAGGAAGAATACCCAGGGAGTAGCCAAGGAACAATTAGATCAACTCACCATATGCCATGAAGCCGAAGAAGTCCACAGAACTCTCCATTGCCTTTGCATCGAAATAGCGCAGATACCAGTAGTCAGGCGCGAGAGTTAGACTAATACCGTATGCGCCATTGAAAGCAGCATGCATCTCTTGAACGAGATATACGAGGTTCTGGGTGTCCTCCGGGTTGCCTCCGCGCTCGGAGGCGACGGGATATTCCCAGTCAATGTCAACACCTTGGAAGCCATGCTGCGGCAAGAAGGCCAACAGAGAGTTAATGAAGGCTGTGCGGCTTTCTTTGCTCGCAGCCAGCTTGCTCCTGGTAATCCACATGTCAGTCTCATACACTGGTACTGAGAGATTGGCAGACTTTAATGGCTCACCATGTCCCATGCGTTGCCTTGTTCGGGTCACTGAAGTCAAATCCACCAACTGCAATCCATCTAGTGAAACAAGCAGATCAGTGTCTGGTAGTCAAGTAAGTAGGGCCGAGCAGCAATGGGACTCACGTTTGCAGCCCTCGACTCTTCAGTGCCGCGAATTCCGAGTAAAGAGCGACATCTCCAGGGTCTGCGGGCACCACAGCAAAACTGTTCGGATCTATGGAGGCAAAGGAATAGTAGAGATGTGTGTATCCCGTGCTTGCGATATCGCTGGGGTAGATGTGATTACACAGACGATCGCGGGTGTTGGAACCTTGGTAGTAGCCGATGGTCCGGCCGTTGGTAGTGCCGCTTCCGACGCCGCAGGTACGACCAGACTTAACTTCACATGAGCCGAAGCCGGCTTGGCATGGAAGAGTTGCACCTTGAGGGTCGGCATTGCCGCAATAAGTCTCCGTGGTCTAAGAAGCATTAGCTGAATCGTCTCATTTTTGCTAGGTAGAAATCAATCAGGAACGACTCACCCCACACCAGCCCATAGCAGAACAGCACAAATTCATACCGCACTTGACCTTGCCACCCTCGCTATACTTTCCGCACATAGCTGTTGCTGTGCAGCCTGATGTGCACTAAAGTAGGACATGTATGTCAGCAATTTGACAGGAAATGGCGGACACTTCTGACTGTCGCAAATTCGCAGGGTCACCTCACTTACGTTTCCCTTGCCGCAGTATTCTGGACCATAACCGCAAGTTCCTTTTGTGCTGCAACAACTACAAAAGATAACCATTAGCAATTAGTCACGAAGCTTTCAAAGGTCCACGAGAGTCCCAGCCTGATTGACTGGCCTACCTTTTGTCTGCGCAGGTTCCATCACTAAGACACTTGGTTGCATCTCGGCGGGTGAGGGGCGATCCTGCGAATGAATGGCCGTCGTGACCGGCGTATATAGTGTCAATTATTTGTGGTGGTGTGAGTTGAGGGTGCTGATGTGTCGGGTCTCTGCTATGAGGGGTTGTTTCCGCACGAGCGTCTAGGTTGTAGCCTTGGTTTGTGTTGTCTAGAAGACGCAAGTCAGATGACGCCACACAACTTAACGGACGTGAATAAACAAACCGTAGGTTATCTCGTCTGGGAATGTCAACTCAGGTAGATACGTCGCCTGGGTCGTCCTCACGAGCGACTTCGTGAGAAGCAAAGCTGAGATCAAGCCTACAGCTTTAGAAGAAAACATCTTGAACACGACTGCTGATGATGCCGACTCAAGTCGAGAAGAGGAATGAATCCGATATATGATCTGCCCTGATTTACCATATTCTTTGTCTTGAAAATGATTACTACCATGGTCCGAGGCAATGCTCGACCTACCCCATTTCCAAGAACTTGCCTTGGTGCGAGGGCCCCACCACAAGATCATTGCATGCTGGTGCCATCGACGGCAAGAAAAGCTGATGCCTAGTCAGTGTAACCCCATTTTGTAGAAAGTTGCCGACATATCCGATAGTTTTATTGAGGGACTTTCCGCGCTGAAAATAATTCTCCGACCTCGTATCGTTTCCAGGGGTTGTGGGTGGTTCATCTTCTCTATCCCCAATGCTTGGTGTCTTTCAATCCACTTTGTGGGTTTCCCAAATACTACACGCCTATGTTCTGATTGGGCCGCTCGGTCTCATGATAAAACGGCCCGCGTGAGATCAGCCAAGTGATCCAATAATGCTTATTTGATCCTCCCATGATACCCTAGATTCTCAACAAGCTTTTCCTTGCATCTTCTCGAAATCTAAGCTTCCCCTCGGGAATCCTCATAGGGTCGCTCGGGCTCTCCCGCTCTGGATTCCCTACACCGTTGCGCAACTCGCGGGAGGATCGCCTCAAACAGGCAGTTCGGTTCTTCATGTGGATCATAGGATAAGCAACGTTACGCATGGGGCAGCCCTACAGACCATCGCACATGGAGAAGAAGCTCAGCGTAAATGCACCCTTGGGCAGTTCGTTGGGTCGGTATATTCGCCGTACCTGGCCAAGGCGCCGAGCATCATAGCAAGACGGGCGTCGACCGAAATTAAAACTATGAAAATATCGAGTCTGGATTTGCGTATGTTTGTTTAGCGCTTACAGAAGAAAAGACTTCGCGCTCAGCTGATGGGAACAGAATGGGAAAAGTAAAATGCCTCAATGACAATGAGAGGATTCGGGGTCGGTCCATGGTGATCTCGGCCGTGTCGGCAATTTGTCGGTGGGTCGCATTTCGGGCTTATTGTGCAAACGCAATGTCTGAAAGGACGATGCTGAGGCCATGGAAAAAGCTGTAGCCGGCAATCATTTAATACATGAAGGTTGTGTATGACGATAGCAAGCTCCTAGCTGTCTACCTAGCTTTACCGTCAATGACTCCATCTTCACAATCTCGTCCAAGATGTACCCTGCTGCCATTGCCGGCTTTTCACTGATATGGTGTAAGTTTCATTCATGTTTCTCAGACTAACCCCTGATGCCCTAGTCTGGTAGCCACAGTCGCACCTTCAATCAGTGTGTCACTCTGTGATTTTCATATCCTGGTAGCGGTTGCTAATTTAGCCTTTAAAAGATGATTCCTTCACTCGGTATACCACTGACCCGTCTTCCGCGCCTTACAAGCAATGGGATGGGATAAAGGTCGAACCGAATGCCGGAACCGGCGAGATTCAATTTTACGATACAACCGAAGATCTCACCTATGTGTTGTCATACCCCCCAAGTATGCCGGGGAACAACGAAGACCAGCTGTTCATCCTCCCACAACACAAGGACGGCAGGTGGACATCAACTCGGCTTGAAGGAAAGGCTGCTCATGGGTGTCCAGAGGGCAAGTCGCTGATTTTACAGGCTGAGCTCCGGGCAGGCAACGCTTCGTCTGATAAGCAAGGTGGCGTCTGGCCGGCATTTTGGGCTCTGGGCGAGAGTCGTAATGATGGCGTCGAGTGGCCCCTGTGCGGAGAGTGGGACATCTTTGAGGCTTCCGATGGCCACGACTGGAGTCTTGCGTCCCTTCACTGGGGCGTGAAGAATGATGCCGGTGAAATTGAGAAACATGATGCCCCTTCCGGCAATACCAACGACCGCCAGCACAAATTCGACCATACCCAGTTCCATACCTGGGCGTTGAAAGTTGATCGCACAAACTCCAATTGGAAAGACCAAACAATTCAGTGTATGTGGACGTGTGGACTGATTATCCAAGAAGAATCTATTGGACATCTACTAATGATATGTAGGGCTCATGGATGGCGAGAAGTTTGACGAGGTCAAGGGAAGTGATGCTGGCACTGAGAAAGAGTGGCTGCTCCTCGCTGACCAAGCCTATTATCCTGTCCTGAATGTCGCAATCGGGACAAATTTTCCCGGGCATGGAACGGTCAGTGAGTCAACATCGACTGGACTGGACACTGGTATGGTGGTGAATTATGTAGCGTTTTACGTTTCCGACTAGCAGTCGTTTGCTCTGCATTTACAGTGCCAAACCATTCTGATCTCTTATTTGATCCTAGCTAGCAAAGTAGACAGACTGATCGATTTGAGGTGAAAGAACGATTAACGATACTTCGAAGACACGAGAGACATAAAGGGACCGTGATCTATTGAGACTTATATTAAGTGTCCTGTCATGTTCACAACTTGATGCTGTTCTACGACTGGTGAGACTCAGGATACTACCGTGGAAGGACCTTTGATTTGTAAACCCCACGCATACTAGTTTTGCCTGAATCTGAAGCTCTATCAATAGGAACGGGAATTCCTGATAGACTGAGGATCTAAATGATGCTATCAGCAAGAAGGCGACTGTCTTTGTCGCATTGTGTGACTGACCGTCCTGTGGATACTGTTCAATGTATCTTTCATGCTGCTGACCTCACGCATCTGGCTTTGTATCCTAGATTTGAGAAGCTGAGTTTCGATTCGGTAACGCGATTTCGGATTATCCCTAGGGAATGCTCTTGAACGGAAAGCCTCGGCTGTTCCAAACTTTTTAAAGCCGTCATCCGTTGGGAATCTTCTTGGCTGGGATTCTGCAGCCCCTATAAAATCTTCGATGACACTGTCTTGCTCAGAAAGAACCTGTTCAATCATTGACAAGTCGTAGAGTATGCTTTCAATATAATGTTGAGCGTCGAACAGCTCAAGTAAGGCGGCTGGTGGAATTGGTGTTTCGGACAGAAGAAACAGTCGGTGCCTTTTGCCGAAGTATGCGGATTTTGAAGCCTGTTCAGATTATTAGATCGAGACCAGCGGAAAACAGATAACAAAGCAATTCTTTCTTACCATAGAGGATATCTCCTCAGCGAAGCGCGAAATGCCACAGGGCGAGTTAGTGGGCCCTACTCCCGCGGTTTGGGGTCGTTTGAAGAAACAACTGATGCATTCTTCGATAATAACCAGAGCCATATCGTAGGGCTTGATATCTATGGTCATTGCGTCGGCTTTCAATCTTTGCCCAATGCACTGGTAAATACTGAAGGGATCGGCGAGGTCGCGGCCAAAGTGGTCGGGAAACGATGTGACCACTATCTTTCCATCAATGATTCGCATCCAAAGCTGATCCACCATTACCGCACTCGTCTTGTCATCTCTAAGATTACAGTTGCTGGGAAATGTGCTGTTATCAACATCCACTTGTGGCACTCCATACGCCTGATGCAAAGTGCGTCGGAGATGAAGAGTATCAGAGCCGAAAAGCGTGGTTTGTATCATCCGTTTCTCAGTATGCAGAGACATCGCTTCATAGAGCGCCGCTGCGTTGAGAAGCAGCTTGCCTAGCTTCGTTGGTCTGAAATGTCGTCGTTTCTGCCAAGACAGAGGCGCTGGTTGCTGGTCGCTGGGAGTAGTCCCATGCCCATCCTGACCAAGAGCATGAAGGTGTCGTTGATGTTCAATCGTGACACACGATGCTATGCTCCTCCTGCGGCTGTCCTTTTCCCACCTGAGGTACGGTAGCTACGCATGCATTAATGATGACAAACACACAAACGCATGTCAAATACTTTAGTACTCACACATAGAACCAAGTCTGGAAATGATGATCTGGAAGAAACAGAGGCACAAATCGGTCGCATATGTCTCGAAAACACCGGTCCTTGCTGTAAATTCTGCCAGTATCGACCGTCGTCCCGAATGTTGGCATCAAGCGTCTTCACCACCCGCTGCAGACGTGAGATGTTAGTTTTACGAGGAAGATCGGTGATTATAATAAACTTACGTCCATCCACTATTTCGATTAGTATTCTTGAGTGACATCTAGAAGTAGGCTGACAACTTACCTCTACGTTATTTGCAGGCAAGTGAACATAAGCGAGAGATCCTTTCAGATCTGAAGTGCGCACACCTTTCATGCATGAGAATTCCGCATACTCCGTCGGGTGTCCGCCCGCAGTTGTAACAGCGGATGGACGAAACTCCATAATTCTTCCCTTAACGTCAAAAGCGTCACCAGAGGACCTTGGCTTCGTTGCGTATTCGCCTTGACGTTTTCCCTTCGGGAATTCCGAACGTTGCGAGATGTGGTATCTGCCTTGGACACCCTGCTGGATACGGTTTCTTTGAGCAAGGTCGACCCGCCATTTAGTGACAGAGACTCGCACATCGTCTTCGTCGTCGTCGTCAACGTTGCTTCTGCTTCCATCAATTATTGAATGACGGACAGATTCAATCCACTCCAATTCTCGCCCAATTTCAGCCCTCTCGCTCTTTGTCAGGCCGTTCAAATACCTGTTTCTCCACGATGATTTGATGCAAGTGAATGTTAGAAAAGGATGTCCGCCTGCGTTCGGTCCTCTCCAAGAGCTCGCCTTGTCAGCAGGCTTAGGTTCAAAGTCTGGATTCAGACCCAGATCATGTAACAGCTCTTGAATATCCTTCAACGCGAGATACCAAAATGGAGTCTCTTCGGAGGTGAGCCAGCTGATGATCTCTGATGTGTTGGGTATCTTCGATCCTCCTCGTGCAATAATGTATTGAAATATTCCATTCGGTTCCAGGGAAGAGTAAGACTGAGATTGCACAAATGGCAGACGGCCCCTAGTTTCGATCAAGTGCGCAAGCTCACTGGCTTTTGACGAGATTAGTAGTACGTTTTCTTCCACTGCTTTCATGGCAAACTGTTCAGCCAGCTCCGCATTGCCGTCGTTATTATATGCTCTTGCAAGCTCTGCTAAACAGGTAAATGGTGTTGGCAAGACGCAATCTCCTATCTCTCCCATTACCGTATCGAGGGGTAGTACGAAAGCATTTCGGTATGTTCCAGCTATCACGTGGCCAAAAATGATACCGGACTCTGGCTGAACCACCCAAGACCCCGAATCCCCCTTTTGGAGACCCATACCTACGCAAAGGTCAGCTCGTGTTAAGATATGATGGCCAATTGGCCCTTGTTACAAGCCGCAAACCTTTTGAGCCAGCAAAGCTCAGCGTCCACACCTGCACAACCTTTCCAGAATCCAGTCTCATTGCTGATAATTTTCGTGAAATTGTGGCCTTAATCTCGCCAGATACTCCAGCCAACACCAGCACGGTGGACGTCCGAGCCACATCTCCAGCGGGATGGGCATGGGTGAGATATCTCAGAGCACGCTGAGGGGCATGCATTGGGGTGTCTGGAATAGCTTCAGCAGGTTCAGGTTTGAATTCCACATCAGCCCGCACGCAATTGGGCAGTTTCAAGAAATCGTTGTCAACATGAATCAACGCCCACTCCGATCCTGTCAGATTTATTGATCCTGCACTCTTGAGAAACTCGAGTCCATCCGCGTTGACAAACTGTTCGTGTTCTTCTTCAAACTCTGATTGACCGTGGTAACGCGCAGCCACTAAAGGGGGTTCAAGATTACCGCGCAATTCGCCAGCCTCCACCATGCGTTCAAGTAGTTCTTTCACTGGCTCATCGGTTGATTCCTTGACAGTGGCACCTCCGTCATGCCACGCCGTCACAGCATGCAAGCGCCCTTCCACTTCAAGCAAGCCACCGAGTGTAAAATGATGTCTATGATCGCCGGCTCCAGCCGAAGCAAGCAAACCACAAATCGAATCGGGAGACGGAGACCAGGCTACCGCAACTTGGTTCCCTACTGACGAAAGATCCCAGAGAGTTTGATAACAGATTGTGAATGGTGGGTCGTACCGTTTTCGCTGATTGGAAAATTTGAGATGAAAGTTTGTCAACTTCTTCTGGTCTCCGAAGTCCCCGTGTATGATCCGAATGCATGGCTTGCCAGAAGATCCGTCCTTGGAGTTGCCGCGGAGAATCTGTAAGCTTCCAGTTGGTAGGGGAGATTGTGCCTGACAAAGATACTCGAAGATTCCGGTCCGCGCTCGCCCATATTCCGACTCCAAAGGCTCGTCAAACTCTTCCGAGTGTTCGATCTGGATCAACTTTATATCCTCTACAATCCGCATGAAACTTGTGACCAATTTCGCATGATTGACATTCATGGTCGGGATGGAAGACAGCCCTTGGGTCGGCTCTGGATCGATAGCTTCCTTCAGAGATTGTGCATCCGATTCCCCGGTAATCGTTGCATTATTAGGTGCAGGGCTAGCTTCCCGCTGAGGTACCGGTAGATCAAGCTCTGCGGATATCCTTACAGGAGCTGTCTCATCGATATCAGGCTCGGCGGGGATGCTGGGCGCAAGCTTCGAAGATTGTTGTATGTGTTGGGCTTTTGGGTTGCGTGCTGGATCATCCAATGAGTCGTCTTGATCTTTGAACGAGATCATGTGGCGAAACTTGTCCCTAAATCGTTGCTTTCTCGGAAGGTCGTGAGAGGGGGGAGACAGAGTTTCGAGCTCTCCGATGTGATAAGGCTGCGTTGTGCTCTCTGAGCTCCCGTTTTGCCGCAGTGAATCAGCAGTGGGATGGCGCGATGGCCGTAATTGTCGGAATGCTAGTGCCATTGGATTTAGTCCTCGTCACAAAACATACTAGATATTCCGTAGTTCTGGAAATAACATGGAACGGGGAAAGATGTGAAGCGGGCCAAGTTGTTTGTATTGGGGTGGCTGGTATCTCACGCACTTTTATTGGGCAGGGGTATTCGCTCGGCGGCAAGCTGCAGGCGACATAGTGTAGCCGAGCCAATAAAAGCAATTGATCACGATATCGAAGCCTTTTGCAGTCTTACCCCGCATTAGACCCAGCCTGATACATGTTTCTCTATCCAGCAGGAGTATTGAGATGTCACGATATGCCGCAGAGCTGAGAGATGCCAAGTAACGAGAACAACAACGGCGGAAGGGCAGGGTCTCTGGAGGTGGGGACTGAGGAACTTCCTCAATCATTAACCAAACGACTTACGGCGCCTTTCCGTCGGAGGGGAAGCTTGACCCCATTAGAATGGAAGTCTGAAAGCATAACCAAAATATGGGGCTTTCACCAAACTACCGGGAGCTCAAGCACGAAGTGGCTGAACAGACTTGACCGATTGAGTACTTTTTTCGATG